GGCATAAACACTTACAACAAGTGTTAAATTTAAGTGTGTACATAGTGTTAAAATTAAAGTTTCAGTAATTTTAGTGTACAATAGTATTCATAAACTGTATTGTAGTACTCAACATACAGCAGAACTACCTAATCAACACAGTGTTAACGGCATAATACACTACAGTGCGTATTTACTGTACAGCATTCACAACGCCATGAGACTTCAAGTTGGACATAACTCCAACAATAAGGTAAATAACAAATGTAACAGTATTTTTTAGTAGAGTAATAATATATAGGTACAGTATATAATATGATAATCCATTTTTATTGTGTACAAGAAAAAAAAAATAAGACTGACGCAAATGCCTCCTGAAGGTCACCTCTTGCATCGCATCCAACGTTCCAACGCACTGGGGTTGGTCCCATATAGTGCATTGAATCGAGGTTGTACTGTAATGAGACACCATTTTCTGGGTTGAGCCCTCAGAGGCTCCCTGAAACCCCCCCCCCCTCCCTACAGTTTGCAGTTTGTAATCAGTCTATGAATTGCCGGTGTTGGCACTTGGGCCGTCTGGGTGGGGCCCCTTCCAGGGTGTAGGGTCGCTATCAAGCGGGCACGCTAGTTGAGTGGATATTCGCTTGTTTGTTGTTTCCTCTCGGGGAGAGTTCTTGGGCTCTGTTCGGTATTGGGTTGCAATGTATTACCAGTGGGGTTTGTAATAGTTTACCTACGTTTCTGGGCGACACCCCCGGTCAATGGCAGATATAACTGTACTCTCAATAAGTGGAATGTTCATAAGCCATTGCTCCCTGCACCTTTCCGAGGGAACCAGGTTCTGGCTTGTGGTTCCCAATATGCAAAGAACTCCAATTAACCGATGCTCTGGAGTAATATAGCGGATACCAGTCCATTAGCTTCAGGGAGCCAACGGGGCTCACCTCAGAAAACTAGATATAAAACCGTTCATAGACAATAAAATAATTATGTAAAAATGCATTTGGGGCAGCTCCTACCACACTCAGCTCTCAGCCGCTAGGCTGACCTTGGATTCTTGTTCTGTGTATATTAACTCTCAACACATGATCTTTCTGATTCATTATGGTGCATAAAAATGTAGATAGTTATATACAATGTGTGTATATAGTGTAATAACAGCAAAAGCACTGTTTGATTGATCTTAGAATATAATAGTTGAACCTCAACTGACGAATGCCCCTACTTACGAATTTTTCGGGTTACGACCCCAATTTCGTCAGAAAATACGAATTGGGTTACAACCTTTACCTCAACTCGCGACTTTGTCGATACAGTACACGTATGGGTAGACTGTGCGCATGGTTCCTGGTGGTACAGGCGACCCCGCTTCAGTGTACCAGACCGCCCGCTTAGTGACGCTCGCGATTGAATTCTTTGTAAAGAGTTTCATTGTTTTTACGCTTTTTTGTTTTTTAAACATAAAAGTAATTACAGTATTATATATAATGCCATGGGTCCCAAGAAAATCAGTGGTAAAGTTCAACCTAAGAAAATAGTTAGAGTAAAGGCAGTATAGGCTGTCCCTTCCTCCTTAACCACTTAACTGCGCCAACCAAGTATTCTTGGTCGGCGGGAAACTGCGCCAACCAAGAAAACTCTCTTTGATTTTTCCGTACCCATTCTAAATGTGTGCGAGGTTGGTTGTGTACGAAATGAACTCTTAGGACCTCCAGTGAGAGGCAGCCATCTTGGAAAAAATTCCCAGAATGACCTAGGGCTGCTGGCTGGGTTAGTTCTGAGTGAGCAACCATGGGTGGCGCACGCTCCTCTGGCTCCCAAACACCTGTCCAACAGTGTTGAAAGAGAACGCTCTGTCGGTGAAATTCAAATCTTATTGTATGAAGAACATAAGGGTCATAATATTGGTGAAGTTAGGCGCAATAAGGACCTAACACAAAGGTCAGATGCAGGTGATACAGCACCTATGAGGACGATACAGCGAGCGTATCCAGTTGTAGCTCTGAGCATCACCCTTGCAATCCTATGCTATCTTCAATTTATTTAGATAATATATAGATGAATCGTTTTCTGCGTTCAGTGATGATGCTTCTGATACAAGTAGCATAGATGAACAGAGTTAGCGGCTTCCATGGTGGTGTTTTTCATAGATATTTTCAAGAATACCTGAATCTCTTCCTGACAAACTGATCTTTTCCTATAATCTTTTCAATACTACCTTATGCTTTACAAGCTTGGCTACATACAACCTACAAGTACTAACGCCAAGGGTGTACGTGAGTGCATTATTTACAAGCATACAGAATGAAGAAACAGGAAGCAAAAATTTATCTGTACCTGGTGCAACGAGAGCGAAGTCGCGCTGTGCACCATGGACTACTTCATTGATTATTACTCACTTCCGAAGTACTGAGTGTGTAATACAGTGTGTTACTGTGTAAATAGTGTGTGAAACTGTATATACATTGTAATTTTAGTGAATTTTTAACAAGTATTATTGCAACAATAAAAATTTATTGTGGACACATTACTGACACATGTATCACAGTTCCATGGAACATTATGAACATTTTACTGTATACATATTGTAAAAGACAAAAATATGCATCATATACGATAAAAAAACAAATAAAACCGGATTGGAAATACATAGAACAAATAATTAAAAATATATTTGTGGCAACACACGGTACTTGAATGGCCCGAACGACCGTGTCTGGGCGATTCATGCACAGGGCGACCAGCCCCTGATGTGCACCTTGTCCACGTCCCCACAGCCAAAGTAAGTGGAATTTGGTATTTTATTTTTACACAGTCATGTTCAGGGAAGGGAATTTATCATTTTACAAAGAAAAAAAGAATTTTGAGGGAACACTTTATTTCATGCGCACAGGGGAAATTTCACAATAAACTCGGCGCAGCAGGGTGGTTAAGAAAATGTTTGAAGTATGGGAAGAACTGCAAAGTTTTGCTGAAAAGACTCGCCCAGATAAAGCTGTAGCAGGGTGTTGTATTGACCTTTTTAATGACAATGTGACTCACTACAGACAAGTGTTAAAATGTAGGGAAAAGCAAGTCTCTATGGAAAGGTTCTGAGTGAGACAAACAAGCAGTGAACCACAAACAGGTCCTAGTGGTATGCAGGCAAAATGTAGGCGAGAGAGTACCTCAGAGAAGTCATCACTGTCTGATGTTATAATGGAAAGGGACACCCCTTACAAACACCTCTCCTCCTCACCTTCCTCCATATGCCAACAAGAGTCATCAATAAAGGTAAGCTATAACTTGTATATACTATAGTACAAAATATTTGTGTGTACAGTATGTATGAAATGTATTTTGAAGGTAATATTTTTTGGGAGTGTGAAATGGATTAATTCAATTTACAATAATTCTTATGGGGAAAATTCGTTTCGGGTTACGACCCGTTTCTGGGAACGGATTAAATTCGTAAACCAAGGAACCACTGTACAGTATATATGTCACATATATGAGCCCCATACTTTTGAGCATAGAGATGAACCACATATTGAACTATATAGATTTCCCAAATTACACACTTTTGAATAGTATTACAGCAAAAAATCAGAGAAGAAATGAACGAGAGACATTTAATTAACACTTTATTGCACCGCGCGCGCGAGACCGCACTACCCTGGGTGGGCCTCAGTGTTTCACGGGAGCATGCAGTAATTCTGAAAAGTGTATACTCTTTTCAACTTTGTCACCTTAATTCTTGTTCAAGGTTTTTCAATTTGGTATCATTGTGTTCACAATAGAATTCTCTACAGGACTAAAGGCATATAAAGTCCAAAAGCCTGACGTACCATCCACAATAAACAGAGAAAGTAAGTGCGTGTTACCCGGGAGCGTGCAAGAGCGATAAAATGTGTACTCTCTTTTCACATTTGTCACCTCAATTCCCATCCTAGGGCTTTCATTTTCGTATCATTGTGTTCGCAATAGAATTCCCAACAAGAGTATATGCATATAAAGTAAAAAAACACAGCGCACTCCACCCGCTGACAAGATGAAAGTGGCCCAGAAAGAGAGCGCTGCGCCACCCCAAGGCGCCTCTCACTACATTAGAGAGCGCGGTAATACTGAAAAGTGTATTCTCTTTTCAACTTTGTCATCTCATTTCTTGTCCTAGGTTTTTCAATTTGGAATCAATGTGTTCACAATAGAATTCTCTACAAGACTAAATGCATATAAAGCCCAAAAGCCCAGTGAGAAAGTAAGAGCGTATTACTCAGAACCGCGCAGGAGCAATAAAATGTGTACACTCTTCACTATGGACATCTCAATTCTCGTCCTAGGTCTTTCATTTTGGTAACATTGTGTTCACAATAGAATTCCCTGCAGGAGTATATGCATATATAAAGTCCAAAAGCCCGGCGTACCACCCACAGCAAACAGAGAAAGTGACGGAGCGTAATCCCAGTGAGCAGTAATAAAATGGGAATACTGTTTTCAACTTTGTTACATCAATTCTGGTCCTAGGTCTTTCATTTTGGTATCAATGTATTCACAATGAAATTCCCTACAGGAATATATGCATATAATATCCAAAGCTGCTGCGCACCCCTCCCGAAGCCACTGCCAATTTGCCGCCGACGCAATGCTGCATCGTTACCGGAAATGCGTCTATTAAAAAACGATGCAATGCCGAGTCGTTATCGAGCGAAAGTGTTAAATAATTGTGAAAAATTATATTCGCAGCAACGCCCAATGCCGCCCCATGGGGTGGCGGGGCTGACTGTCTCCTAGCACCTCATCACTCAGCGCCCATAATTTGCTCAATTTTCCAACTCCATCACTGCTAAAGTATGTCACATACAATATTTTATTTTTGTTTCCCCATGATCAGATATTACATTTTAACAATATAAGAGGAGAAAATAATTTTTTGGAAATTATTTATTTTTAGGGCAACACAGGAGTGTCATATTTTAATGCAGCACAGTGCAGTGGTTAAACACTAGCAGAAAATACAAATAACTGAACTACCTAAAACAAACCTGACAGGATATGTATGAAGAGCAAACTCTCTCTCCAACACGCCCGTAGCAACGTTGAACACTTGAACCACCCCTGACTGCGTCCCAGCTGCGAGACGAGGCACATACTGGTGGATATTTCGAGTGGTGAGAGGTGGACACATTCTTATCACCAGAGGAGGTGGGGACATTGCAGGCATGAGACCCGTCATCAAAATTCGGAGGTTAACACGATGCCCGAGTTCCTACAAAAGAAATGAAAGAGAACAGTCTTATTAAAGACAAAACTGAAAATCTGTGATACTAATTATTGCACTGTAAATTATACAGTATAATGAATAGACAAGTGATAATTTTTATCTTAACATTCAGCCCAAGAATTAAATAAATCCTTGTGATGCTTGACTCTACAGATTAGTCTGTTTGCATTAGCTTAGAGATTCCTTTGAAGGTCATGTATGTGATGTCACCGAGATCTTACTACTCCTGGCTTAAGAATAAACCCTTATGAATACTGTATCTGGTATTCTGACTGGGTGGTACTTCTAGTGATTCCCAGGGGTCTTTAATATGCAGTACTGTACCTTTGGGAGTGACAGAATGATGCAACTCCAGACAATAAACATTTATAAAGGTTTTCATTGAACTTAACACATAATTATACAGGTCAATAATGAATTAATGCAAAAAATATCTGCTAGATTCAATCTACCTTAACATTATCAGCTAAAGCCCAAGCGGGCTTCACCATATCAGCCAATGAGGTTTTAGGCATATTGATGTGGACTCCAGTTGGTGAGGTGGACAGACTAAAGTGGTTGTCTGTAATATTGAGACCCGTATGTGGTGCCGGAACAGACGGTGCCGAGGGAGCTCCAGGAGTGAAGAGCGGAGTGCTGACAGCTTGACGCCCAGGGCTTGGGGAAGCAGTTACCTGCTTGAACACCACACGACCGTCACCCAAAACCATAGCTGTTGACATAATTTATTCATTAATAGTATGATCCATCCATACATCATCATAACCCCATTTCCCTCTTTCATGGGGTAGAAAGGCATCACCCCATGAAGAAAATATAGTGAAAGAAGATTGTACGGTAGCTATTAAAAGGAAAAATATCTTTCATTTATTATATTACTCACACTATATGGTATCCCAGAGAAATGAATACCACCTCACTCCAGCAATCCTTCTGTGACACCTGTTGCGTGGGGGAACTTGCGGACAGAGCCCCAAGTGTAATAACACTGGTGTACACTCTCATAGTACACCCCTTTTACACTGTCCTTGTACACTCTCCAAGCACCTACACTAATATAACACATATCAGCCTGATAGCTCCAGGGAGCCGTAGGGGCTCCCCACAGAGAAAAAAACAGTTGGGCATGTTTCCTTTCACCTGATGCTCTGTTCACCTTGCAAGCACCCCAGGAGTTAGGTAATTCTTGTGGGTTGCATCCTGAGGAAGGTAAGTATTTGGCCTTAGGAATTGACTTCAATAAACTAAGTAAAGGCTTCATGTCCCCGACAACAGGAATCAAATACATTTACTCTCCTCTTCCAAGCCACATCCATTCAGCCTTGTCCTCCACCACACCCCATGACCTGCTCACACAAGCTCCCACCTTCCTCATGCCATCACTCACAATGTCACAATAACTTTTTTATTAACTAGTCCAGTTAAACAACCCTTTTAGGTTTACTTGGAGAGGGTAAAATATATTTGACTACAAATACTTGTATGCAAAGAGTTATTGTCTAGCTGACTGGTGTAAATTTACAATATCTTAACATTAACCTTTGCTGCATTAACTTTCAAAACATTCAGCACACTTGACATGAATATAAGGCAATTATTTCAATGTAAAAATTATAAATTAAGCATGCATGTAACAGGCTCTGTCCTGCTGTTGAAAATGAACCTGGGACCTTTTGGTTATGAGCCAACTACACTGACCACTGGGTTACAGGAATTTTATGCCACATGTCAAGAAATGAATTTACATACATTAGAATCATTTATTACATCTCCAACTCTTTATCCATATCTGCTTCTAGGCTGCAACTGCACTACACAATTTCAACACATGAAAAAAAAATCAACAAAAATCCAGCGTTGAATGTATGAAACGCCATTTTCTGGGTGAGACCCGGAGGCTCCCAGGAGCTATCCAGACTGATAAGCTAATGTCAGACTTTGGCATCAGTCATGTGTATGGAGTTCTGTGGGCCTATCGGGGCCCCACGAGCCAGAACCTGGCCCCCCCCCCCCAGAGAGGCATGGGAAGCAATAGCCTATAGAAATCCCAGTTTGGTTGGAAGCATTCTGTGTCTGCCTCGACACAGAATGGTCGGCACCCAAAACTACCGAGCAACCCTTTAAAGCTGAATCTGGGGCACGTGTACACCCATGGGAACCTAGCAAGGGGGTGCCACCAGAAGAGAACAGTATTCAGATCAGGCACAAAGGGGGCAACAAGCAAGGCAGACCCCTCCACAAGGCAAAAACAAAAACAAAACCCCGCAAGAGGACAACTTACCAAAAAGGAATAGAGCCGGTCGCTATGAATGGTGAAAACAAACTGCGCAGCACCCTTTGCCTCTTACCAGTGCACACCGCCTCTTACTCTAAGGTAAACAAGGGAGACAAAACCCCCAAGCACCTAAAGTGCAGCCAAAAAAACGAGCAGTAAAACAGCCTAGCAGAGGCAGGACCCAAGGAACTTGTGGAAGGTAGTCCCAAGCCCCAAGGGCAATACTTACAGGGCACCTAGGGACGATAACCCTAGGCGCATGCAGCCCAAGTACTGTGGAATAACTCCTGGCTCGTGCAACTCCTGGAGGACAGCCACCATACTCAAAGCACAGTGCTGAAAATCACTGGAGCCATAGCACATGACCTTCGCCTCTATCATCACCCTTAGAACTGAAGGGTGGATAGCCAGCGCGGGGGTCTGGGGCTTCCCCTTCCCCCTCCCTGGGAGAGGGAAGCTGCACAGACAGCACCCTGGCAATGTGTGACATCATGCTCGTTTCTTTTTGGGGAGTTCTATCCATTTGTTCGGCTTTTGGTAGCAATTTTTCACCAGAATAGGGGTTTGTTTTGGGACGCTTACCTTTCTGGATGCCTGACCCGGTTGATGGCAGACAAAGAATGTTTCCAACCACACAGGGGTTTCTATAAGCCATTGCTCCCCATGCCTCTCTGAGGGGGGCCAGGTTCTGGCTCGTGGTCTCTGGTAGGCCCACAAAACTCCATACACATGACTGATGTCAAAGTCTGACATTAGCATATCAGCCTGGATAGCTCCTGGGAGCCAAAGGGGCTCCCCCCAGAAATAAACAATAATTAGAAAATAAATGCTATTTCTAAAACCCCTTATATAAACAATATGTTTATGTACCTATTTGTTTTTCGGACACTGGATCAAGTGAGAGCCCAATGGGCCGACTTTGCTTGTTGAGACGAAGAGGTTCCGAGTGGCACTTCCGATCATACATAACCTCATAATACTGCTCACCAGCACCTCCGCCATCTGTAAAAACATTTAGTTGTAACTTAAAATGTTTAATCATAATAACAATTATTCTTCCTATTACCCTTAAACAGTTAGTTAAAAATCTACATCATTGTGTGAATGAAAAAAGTATTCATAATCAACTAGGATCAATAGCACATGATGATTTGAGAACAGGAGGTAATTGCAGATAGTAATATGAGCCATTTAAGAGTTAACAATATTAGCTGTCCTCTATCTGCAATTTACATCTAAACACACACACACACACACACCACCTCTGTTGCTACCTGCTAACACACTCCTCTGACACTACCACAGTCCCTCACCTTACACACTTTACATGATACCATCGACTCATTTTCAAAATGTATTTTATAAATATTTGATATTTGATATTTTATATATATATATTATATATATAAAATATATATAATTACCCTGAGACATCTTGGCCTCACCGTACCAAGACTCAACCATATTCACCGTGAATACACCAAGCAGACGTGGGAGTGGCCGGAAGTGCCTACGGTGTACCATCTATGTGAAAACTTATCAAAACAGGTGGGTTGGCAGTGTGGAGTCATGGAGGCTGTAGTGAGGGGCCAGGATGGACCCTGCAGGCCTCCCATAGTGAGGGGAGGTGGGGGGTGAGTGAGGGGTGTTGTGTGGTCAGGAGAGAGAGGTGGGGGTTACGCGTGTGCCAAACAGTGTTTTGTGTTTTTCTTTTTTGAAAGTTTTGTTGAACCAGTTACGTTGTCAGCGATAATTGGCGCAACATATCTATCATATTGTGAGTACATCACACGTGCAGTGAGTCAGATTACAAGTGTGTGATTCATTCATTATTGTGCAGTGATATACGGGGAAATTATACCAGTGTTAGTGTCGCCCTGACCCCCGCCCCCACCCAGCGCCCAGGCCGGGAAGTACCTGCTCTCCCCCTCCTACCCACCCCACCACGTCGCCTCCCCACCCACGAGGCCACCTTGCCACCCGCCCATAGAAGCCGGGAGGCTCCCATGTGTGTCTAAGCCACCCACCCACCCAATGTATACCCACATATTGTGTAGTGGGTGTATACCCACACTTTGTATAGAGGTGGTATATGTATTACCACTCACCTGAGTAGTAAGTGCCACGGCCAGCTGATCACCCCCCCAGCCTCCAACCGCCGCCCACCCTCCAGTCTCCACCCGCCGTCCACCTTCCCGCCCAGCGCCCGCCCAGCGCCCGCCCATGTCGCAGCTCTCAACAGATAGCCAGGCTTCTCCAAGCCAAGATGAGCCATCAAACAGGGGTAGACAAGGTAGATGTCAGACGTGTGACCGGGTATGCTATATCCGGTTGAGTGACGATAATGTGCGCATTCATTACCACAACGGAGCCAGGTGTTTGGGTTCTGGGCGCCCTCCCAGGGAGAACACCAATCAACAGCCCACACCGCCCGTAAGGCAAAACACCTCCCAGACCTTCATTCCCACAGAAAATTTATTAGAAGCTATCAAAGCAACATCGGCCAGAACCTTGCAACACATCCCTAAAGCAGCCCGCCCCCATGCAGCAGCCAAATTATCTGCCCTCCTGAGAAAGGTCAACAACTCTCGTGGAACGACCCAAGCATGGCACAACCTCCTAATGTTTGGCAACATATGTCTAGCCACCCTGCAAGGAGAGACAAAACCTTAGCTGCCTCAGTCATCAAAGCTATAAATGATTTTCCCAGGGAGGACAACCTGGTGCGCCTTCCCACTCGTGCGAGAAACACCCACGGCAGGAAGAGCAACAGTGGCATATCCGAGACATCAAAAATCAGAACATCAGTCACCAAGAAAATAGAAGAAGGAAACACTATTGGCGCAATACGAGTCATCACCAGTGAGGACTCAATTGCCGACAGAGATGCTGCAACAGCTCAAGCCCTAAGGGAGAAACACCCACCCAGGGCTCCGCGTGAGGGCGACATTGTACAAGTGGGGGCTACCGGAGCAGAACCTCTCTGGGTGGCTGAATCTGTGGTCCATAAAGCAGCCATGTCCTTCCCTACAGGATCAGCAGGTGGGTTCACAGGACTAAAACCCAACCACCTCAAGCAAATGCTCAACCCTGCACTGGGTGACATTGCAAAGAACCTCTTGGTGGAACTAACCAGATTCACCAACACATGTCTAGCTGGCAACATACCAGCGTCCATAAGACCTATCTTTTTTGGAGCATCTCTCTGTGCTCTAAAGAAAAAGGATGGAGGGATCAGGCCAATACCTGTGGGCAATTCTCTCCGGCGTCTCGTCGCAAAGGCAGCTGCAAGAACAGTTAGTGATGCAGCGGCCAACATGCTGAAGCCAAAACAGCTCAGGTTTGGCATTCCACAAGGGTGTGAGGCGGCAGCCCATGCAGCTCGAGCCTTCATCGCCAACATCACAGACGAAAAGGCCCTTATCAAGCTAGATTTAAAAAATGCCTTCAATTTGGTGCGGAGGGATGCGGTACTCCGTGCGGTTCATAGTCATTTCCCTTCCCTCTACCCTTTTGTACATTCATGCTACAGTATGGATCTTAAGCTACTTTTTGGCGAACATGAAATTGACTCGCGAGAAGGCGTCCAACAGGGTGACCCCCTTGCTCCTCTCCTTTTCTGCTTAGTCATCAAACAAGTCACAGAGGTCCTGTCCAGCGAGCTTAACATCTGGTTCTTGGATGATGGTACCCTAGCTGGTTCCCAAGACTCCCTCCTGGAGGACATCAGAAAAATCCAGGAGCAAGGTGCAGTTTTAGGCCTCACCCTGAACCCTTCTAAATGTGAAATAATATGTTCCAACCAGGGCATCGTAGAGAGAATAGAGGGTCTTCTGCCAAATATCCATAAAACTAAACCTGAAGACAGCACACTCCTAGGAGCTCCCCTGGGGTTGAAAGCCATCGATGAGGTCCTTGATAAGAAAATCGCCGACCTTAAGAGGATGGATGGGAGGATTGAGGATATTGATGCTCATGATGCACTCTACCTCATCACCAGATGTCTGTCCCTCCCCAGGTTAACCTACTTTCTAAGGTGTTCACCATCTTACAGTAGCCAAAAACTAAGTGAGTATGACCGGTTACTGAAATCAATGCTAGAAAAAGCCCTTAACCTCTCTCTCGATGACCTACAGTGGAAACAAGCCTCTCTTCCCGTAAGACTTGGGGGCCTCGGAGTTCGAACAGCAACGCAAATCGCTGTTCCAGCCTTCCTGTCCTCCTTATCAGCATCCGACGACCTTGTGAAGGAAATTCTACCTGCCCACTTACATCAGCTGGCAGGTGTACATGATCCCAATTTTACACGCTGTGCCACAGAGTGGGCCTCTCGTGCAGGCCAATCACCTCAACCACCATCCCCAAAAGCCCACAAGCAATCCAGCTGGGATGGTCCCATTGTAGACCAAGTTGCTGCAGAGTGCCTGGGTGCTGCAACAACACAACACGACATTGCTCGCCTCACAGCAGTAGCAGCACCACATGCAGGGGATTTCCTGTTAGCAACCCCAATCTCGGCAACTGGCACGCGTCTCACACCACACGCCCTTCGAATTGCTATGGCCCTCCGCCTTGCTGCCCCAATCCACACCAGATATAGGTGTATTTGCGGCGAGGTGGTGGCTGACAGGTACGGCCACCATGGCCTACTCTGCCAAAGCACAGGGGGATGGCACTCGAGGCACAGTGAAGTTAACGACATCATCAAGAGGAGCCTCACCACAGCTGGATGCCCAGCTGAAAGAGAGCCCCGTTACCTAACGCCCGTAACTCTGATGCTCTTATTGGTCGCCCAGATGGTATCACAGTGAACCCCTGGAAGAATGGCAAGCAGTTGGTATGGGACTACACGTGCGTATCAACCCTGGCTAACACCTACATTAACCTCAGTGTTGCACAACCAGGTGGCGCTGCCACCCACAGGGAAGCAGCCAAATCCCGTAAGTATAGAGAACTGGATCACCACTACAATTTTGTCCCCATTGCTTCTGAGACACTCGGCGCCTGGGGTAAAAGTGCTACCAGTTTTTTGAAGGAACTGGGTTCTAGGCTCATTGAAACAACAAGGGAACCGAGAGCTGCAAGCTTTCTTTTCCAGCGCCTCAGTGTGGCGATACAGAGGGGAAATGCGCACTGCATCCAGGGTTCCTGCCCGCCATCTGAGGAGCTGGAGGAACTCGACAACCTATGACAACCATCTTTGTAACCCATATGTAACTCCTTTTTTGTAACAAAGTTCAAATAAAGTAAATATATATGTGTACATACAAAAGAATGGGGGTGGTAGGAGACGATAATATTAGTGTTCAGTGAGAAACCACAAGGTCTCCTCTGAATACTTTTTATTTTCTTCTCCGAGGCTATGGGTCCCCACATTGGCACCAGAGGTGGTACCCTCACAAACTTTTTATATATATATATATATATATATATATATATATATATATATATATATATATATATATATATATATATATATATATATATATATATATATATATATATATATATATATATATATATATATATATTTTTTATATATATATATATTATATATATATTTTTATATATATATATATATATTATATATATATTTTTATATATATATATATTTTATATATATATTTTATATATATATTTTATATATATATTTATATATATATATATATATATATATATATATATATATATGTCGTACCTAGTAGCCAGAACGCACTTCTCAGCCTACTATGCAAGGCCCGATTTGCCTAATAAGCCAAGTTTTCCTGAATTAATATATTTTCTCTAATTTTTTTCTTATGAAATGATAAAGCTACCCATTTCATTATGTATGAGGTCAATTTTTTTTATTGGAGTTAAAATTAACGTAGATATATGACCGAACCTAACCAACCCTACGTAATCTAACCTATCCTATCTTTATAAGTTAGGTTAGGTTAGGTAGCCGAAAAAGTTAGGTTAGGTTAGGTTAGGTAGGTTAGGTAGTCGAAAAACAATTAATTCATGAAAACTTGGCTTATTAGGCAAATAGGGCCTTGCATAGTAGGCTGAGAAGTGCGTTCTGGCTACTAGGTACGACATATATATATGGTAGACAAAAAACATGCATTCTATCTAGTGGTAAATTCAGTACATGGTAAACACAACAGGTTGACCTGCATGCCAAGTGTTGTCTTTGTCTGTGTCTGGGGATGAAGGCATTGGCAGAAGTCGGCGACGAAAGTGAGCAGAAACAGAACCAGATTCGTGTAGACAAAAGAGAACATCTCGCTGCCAGCATGACAACACCTGAAATTAATACCACTCAATCAGTACCTTGTAGAGCTATACAGTACAACATAACAAACACAAAGAAATGAAGTATTTCCTAAGCATCTAAAACATATTGATATTTTAAATCAAATTTGTAGAGTAATGCATGACTAACTGGCATCAAGATACTATACAGTATCAGGCTCATATACTGTGAATGCTTCAATAAGAGATAAAAAGATTTGAAACCAACATTCAATTGATTCTACTTGGATACATGAAATAAATGCCCACAATCAAAATTCTTGCTTTACAACCTAAGTACAGGGGTACCTCGGTTTGAGAATTTAATCCGTCCCTGGAGAAGGTTCATAACCCAAAAATTGGTAAACCGAAGCGAATTTCCCCATAAGAAATAATGGGAAATGAATTAATCCGTTCCTGACTCCCCAAAAACTTCACTTGAAACTAAATTTTATACCTAATTCACCCATATCTTAACTACAAAAGTATGTTCAAGTTATTACATACCTTTGCTGATGACTGCTGTTGGCGTATGGAAGATGGTGAGGAGGGGGGAGGAGGAGAGGTGTTACTGTTTGGAAGGGGAGTCCCCTTCCATTATAACATCAGGCAGTGAGGACTTCACTGGTGTGCACACACTGGCATGTTTTGCCTGTATACCACTAGGACCTGCTTGTGGCTCACTGCTTGCTTGTCTTACTAAGAATCTGTCTAAAGACGCTTGTTTTTCCCTACATTTTAACACTTGTCTGTAGTAAGACATCACATTGTCATTTAAAAGGTCAATGCAACGGCCTGCTACAGCTTTATCTGGGTGAGTTTTTTCAACAAAACTTTGCAGTTCTTTCCATACTTCACACATTTTCTTAATGAGGAAGGGACATCCTCTACTGCCTCTATTCACAACTATTTTCTTAGGTTGAACCTTACCACTGGCTTTCTTGGGACCCATGACGAAATATATAATAACAACTTTTATGCTCAAATGGTCAAACGTGTATTAACAAACTCATATCCCGATGCAAAGTTCATATTCCGATTCAAAATTTCCGAACAAATCAGTTTCGTAACCCGAAAAGATAAAAAACAGAGACGTTCGTAACCCGAGGTACCACTGTATTGTCCAAAATGTCTTATATACTTTATCTCTATAAGTCAAAATTATAATCATATGAAACAACAAACAAAATGTTAACATGCTGTTTCATTCCACTGTGAACTTCAACTTCATGCTAAAAGTTTTACAGCTGAATATGACCTTACGGTTAGGAGTTATGAAAACATTATGTTAATCAATTAGCAGTTTTTATCAATGGTCAATTATATCTCTTATATTTAAACAGAAGCTAACCTGGCTGAAGGGCGACATTGCCCTGTCGATGACTATAATACCAACAGTTTGATTGATGGCAAGATCCAGTACCAGGATCTCTCGTGAATACAGGAGAAGCAGCTGATCGCGCACTGTCTGGTGATACATCAGCTGTAAACACTCCGCCAGCTGACTGACCTCTTCACTCCTACGGAACCATGAGGAGAACTAGATATGGTTTGATCACAAGAGATTGAATGTGGAATGTATCATCAGTTTCATATGGTAAATCTCTCAGTTGCTTCCTTCTCCCTCACATCTCTGCTTAGCCATCACATGAGACCAAAAGAACCAAAGCTCAGCTAGGCGAGTACATGTATAATATGCACAACATACAGAATGGTGTAAAATTTGAGTCTCAGACACTTTTGGAACATACTGTACTTGGAGTCCACCATTGCTTTATAAAAAAAAGCATTGAATGTAATGAAACACATTTTTGGGTGAGCCATGGAGGCTCCCTGGAACTATAAGACTAACATGCGCTATATTAGTCTGGGGCTTCAGTCAATGGAGTTCTGCCTTCCAAGAACCAGAGCCATAATCTGGCCTCCATCAGAGAGGCACAGGAAGAAATGGCCTAAGGAGACCCCCCCCTTGTATATGGGGATATTCCTCGTCTGCCATCGACCAGGGTTAGGCACCCAGAAAGGTAGGTATCTTAAAACAAACCCCACATGGTAGAAAAATGCAAAAACCCACGACCAAACAGAGAAATAGAACTCCCCAAAAGAAATGAAAAGGAAACAAGCAATCAAGTGGGGAGCCCCAGAACTACGCACCGGCTACTCGCACCTCAGTTTGGAGGCTGCGCATCAAAAACGAAACCACTGACCAGAAGGAAGGAGGGTGCCAGGGAGCCTTCGGGGCCAACCCATAAAATGGCATTTCATTACATTCAAAGCTGGTTTTCTGTGAGGGAGCCCCTTCAGCTTCCTGGAGCTACATAACCAAAGATAAGTAAAAAGAAGGACTTACTCGGAAGGTGGCCACAGAGCATGGATCAATTTGACGACGAGACAACTGGCTGCAAACTGTGACCCACAACCACACACGAATGACTGGGACCAGGAACATTTACCAAATAATGAGCGGCCAGGACCCTGTTCGACCTCCAAAACCCATGCGACAGTATTCGGCATTAGATGCCTGTAATGAAAGAACCAAGAAAGAAGGCAACAGAACCCGATCCGAGACCGAAGACAACCTATGCAGGGAGAGGAAAAGGGAAAAAGACCGCCAAGAGACTACATACTGTCGCAGAGAAGACTGCAGGTGGGACACCATGAGAGAAGCCACCTGGACACCATACAAATGGTGATACATCCGCATCAGAAACTCCAGACGCAAAGCACGGAAGAGTAGAGCAAACCAACAAGGTACCACACTGTCCCGATCTGCTGAAAGAGGCAGAGCCACAGAAAATGCACCAGGTTCGGACACTGAACAAGTAGTGCCTGAAACCAAGGCTGGGCCGGCCACCATGGGGCCAGAAAGAGAACCCATCCCTGATAGGACTTGGCTGAGACAGAACCCGAAGCAACAGCTGAACCGGGGGGAAGAGGTACAACTAACCCCACCTCGACTAGCCCTGCCGAAAAGTGTCTACCACGAAAGGAAAGTGTCTACCACGAAAGGAAAGTGTCTACCACGTCGCAGTCAGGAAAGGGCGCCACATATACAGGAGAGACGCTGCGGCGTGGGCCACCTCCAGAGGCATGAACGTCCGGCAAAACAAACGGAAGGAGTCGGTGTCGACCATCCATTCCTTGGATAGGGGAATGAACTGCAAAAGGCTGTCCACCAGGACATTGGACACACCCTGGATATGAAGTGCAAAGAGCGCTAAACCCCAAGAACTCAGCAGTAGAGCCACTCGAAGCGACCAGCCCTAAAGAGCCACGGACTGCAGAGCCCTCCCCCCCCCCACCCCCCGCAGTTCAGGCAATGAACCATAGGAGCGCAGACCGAACGAAACCGTATCGTAGAGCCCAAGCAAGCTGAATCCGATGCAGCACCTGCCACACTGCCAAAAATTCCCACACCATACTGAGAGCCCAACGGTAGGACAGCCCACAGCCCCTTGGTGTGGCATGGTTTTGTTCAACCTGGTGAGCACTGGACACAAATCCCCAGCTGTGAGAGGAGGCATCCATGAACACATCAAGGCAGGACTCCAGAAGGTACCAAGGCACCAAACCCTGAAAACCCGAAGAGGAAGCCGGTGACTCAGCAGCCGATACAAGGTCCCTGGGGAAAGAACCCATCAATTGCGAGCACGGCAAAAAGGACGGCCTCAAAGAAACCAGAACAGACACCACAACCAAACCTGACACTGTGGGGAAACTAGCACAGCAAAGTTCAAACTCCCACACAGCTGCTCGAGCAACCGCTGAGTGACCCGGGACCCACTCAGGAACAGACGACGGTGAGTGCAGCCGGAGCAATGCTGCCGGAGGGAGAGAGAAAAATGCTGTCTGGGAATCCCAGACTAGGTCCAGCTAGATCCGAACCTGAGACAGAACCAGATGGAAGTTCCTCCAGTTCACCAGGAACCCAAACCCAGCAAGCTGGGAAAGAACCAAATCCCTGGCGAGCAGACAAGCTGACTGGCTGGGAGTCCACACCAACTAGTAGTCAGGTTATCTTGAGGTTATCTTGAGATGATTTCGGGGCTTTTAGTGTCCCCGCGGCCCAGTCCTCGACCAGGCCTCCACCCCCAGGAAGCAGCCCGTGACAGCTGACTAACACCCAGGTACCTATTTTACTGCTAGGTAACAGGGGCATAGGGTGAAAAAAAACTCTGCCCATTGTTTCTCGCCGGTGCCCGGGATCGAATCCGGGACCACAGGATCACAAGTCCAGCGTGCTGTCCGCTCGGCCGACCGGCTCCCCACCGTCAAGATAGGCATACACCTGAACACCTAAGAGATGAAGATGGGTCACCACGACTTGGGGTAAGATGTGTAAAAATGCGAGGTGCCAAATCAAACCTGAATGGAAGGCAACAAAAGCAATAAGTCAGCTTGTCGGTAAGCACTCAACACTTCTACATCCTCCAAAAGCCAGTCTGAAGACAGCTCCAGAAGACTAAAGAAGCGTAAGACCGAGGCCATATGACCGCGATTGCGATGATCCTCAGCAACCAATGCAGCCGAAATCACAGGAACCTGGGTGTGCAACTGCAGCAACCCAACCTCACAAGAAAGTGCAGGGGTGTAAGGGCACTCATTGAGGAACACAAGAAAGCCTTTCCCCAAGAAAACCTGTAACACTGAGGAAACCTCAAGGCACTCAAGCGTGGGGGTACGACAAAAACCAAGCCAAGCCCCAAGAGCAAAGAAAGGGCAGTCTGCAGGCCAGGAAGACCCAGGAACCTCATAATGCATCCATATGGGGAAAAGGAACCGAACTCAAAAAAGGTCGGGTCCAGAATAGAGGCAAATTCCAGGTCTTGCAGGAGGTAACCATCAAGAGCTTCCCAAACCTTCGCAGAGGAAATCCGAGAGGTAGAAAACCTAGGAAAGACGAATCTGAAGAACTCGGAAATGAACCCAAGGGGGGGGGGGGGGAACCGCCTCCAAATCAAATTCGTACAGGGAAGGAGGATACAAAAACCCCGAACCTTGCAACAACAACCCCTGTCCCAAAAGCACCAAAGCCCAGGCAGGGTCAAACAGGGCCCAAAGCCCTACGGCAACTCCACCCATGCCCTGTGACCCCCCTTCCCCCGACACAGGGCCCACGGCAGAACCCACACCCACACCCACCACCCCTAAAGAAAAGGCGGAATCTAAGGGGAAAAGCCTCAAAGAAGGGGGGTCTGCGGGGCAGGACTCATATGTTTCAGCGGAACGCTCAGGCTCAACTGCCTCTGTACTCGCATCAGTTGGAGCAATCCCCAAAGCCGCCCAAGCCCCTTCCCGAGCTAAACCCCGTCCCGGTTCTGAAATTCTCAGATGTTTGGGAGCTGGGAACAGGGGAAGGAGCAGGATGAACCACGCCCAACTGGGAAGGAATCGGGGAAGTGGGCAAAACCAAGGTCGAAGCGACCAACACCCCCAACATCGGGTCCGTAAAACCCAAACGGGGCAGCTCCAGGGCATCTGACAAGGCCACTAACCGGGTGTATTGCACCAACAAAAACCTAAACTGCAATGTAGCCGCTGCCTGACCTCTAAGGTCTTCTGAAGAAGAATGAGTAAGTTGAAGGACGAGCAGGGAACAAGTCCGGGTCGTAGATTTCACTGACCGAACAAACAGCATGAAGGAGGCAGAACACATGATTGTCACCCTGAGACAAGGACAACGAGCAACCCTGAAAGTCGCACAAAGCTAGAGGAGGACACAGAAGACATAGTCATAGTCGAACCGAGCCCCAATGGGTTTACTAGGACCTGCAGGAGGAGGAATCCTGACGGGAAGCCCAGGCACTGGTGTAGCTAAAGCTGGTTGAACCCTGTCTAACACTGAGCAAACTGACCCCAGGAAGCCATGAGTGCAATCTCGAGGGGCCCAGAGGAGGAGCACCAAACACAACCTAGGTGAACCTTATCGGAAGCTAGGCAAACCTCCTCCGGGAAGACAAAGAATACCCTTGAACTCTTGAAAAAAACACCACAACAACCAGAAGCCAGAGAGAGTCACGGCTGCCACGATTATGCAAGCTACGCTAACACCATGCGCCCCAACCAGCAACAAAAACACTCCCTACCCAGGGCCAGACAGAGAGCCCCACAACCCTTGCTGAACCCCAAGGGCACGGTCAACAACAAATGACACCAACCTCAACAGGAGTGCAATCCCGCAGTCCCAGGGAAGGAAACCATGAATACGTAAGGGCAATACCCACTGGGTGCCTAGGGAAGGTAACCCTAGACACATTTAGCCCGAGTACACTGAAAACGCCTGGCCACCGCACAACCACACAGGGTAAAATCCAGACAAGAGAATGAGGCCAGCAATAACATTTGCTCTGTACGACATCAGTCAACAAACTGCCGGTGTGAGCGCTTGGACCGCCTGGGCGGCCCCCCTCCCCGGGAGGGGGAGGGAGCATCACTAACAAGTGGGCATGCTAGTTGAGTGGATATTTGCTTGTTTGTTGTTTCCTCTTGAGGGGAGTTCTTGGGCTCTGTTCGGTCTTGGATTGCAATATTTTACCAGTAGGTGTTTGCAATGGTTCACCTAGTTTTCTGGGTGATACCTCCAGTCGATGGCAGACATGTACTGTATATACTCTCAATAAGTGGAATGTTCATAAGCCATTGCTCCCTGCGCCTCTCTGCGGGAACCAGGTTTTGGCTTGTAGTTCCCGGTAGGCAAAGAACTCCAATTAATTGATGCTCTGGACTAATAGTGGATATCAGTCCTTTAGCTTCTGGGAGCCGATAGGGCTCACCTAAGAAAATTTGTTAAAATCACGTTTAAAATGTGTCAGTCCATGGCCCTACTACTACTATGTGGTACAATCAACATTCCATCCTACATTACAGGGGTGGAACTGGGAGGTGGTGATCTCACTGCCCACTACTATGTTGTGTTATCAGATTCACATCCCTTTGTATTAATTATAGAGAACCTTATCAGAAGCTAGGCAAACCTCGCCTAGCTTCAAACATTTATTTGAGAGCACAAAATCCCCAAATTTATTTTTGCTAGAGGTCAATATACTGTAGAGTTGGACCTTTCTGCTCTGGAAAACAAAGGTAGGTTCATAGGGCTGTGTAGAATGTGAGAGAAGTAAATTAAAAACAGAAGTGGGAAGTTGCAAAAGTTTTTGAAAGAGGTAAAGTCTGATTTGCTATATTTAGGCAAAACTAAGATAAAATGAAAAAATAATGAAGAATGGAATGCATTAAGTGTTTAAGAACATCAGTGAAAGTAAATTAGAGAATTCAAAATGGAGTAAGCCTGTTATTGAGTAATAATTAGTATGGGCAATAATATGTTCCCTTATTGCAATTACAGTAAAGGTGTCTTAACTTTGAGAAAGTAGAAGAATGTGATTGTTATTGCATATACATTGTGTAATTCTGGCAGTGAAAATGATGGCATGCAACAAGTGGAGTTCTACACAACTCAATCCTAGCACCACTGATGTTGATAATTAATGAATGACCTACCTGATGAAGTGAATTAATACATGTCAATGTTGGCAGATAATACAATGGTAATGAAGACTGAGGAGACTGAAGAAACTACAAACACTGAGGAGAACTTTAAACAATTACAGAAAGTCCCTGACAAACTCATGGAGTAAACAGACAAATGGATATTAGATGTTCAACTCCAGCAAGTAGTAGTGGTAGTAGGCATCCATCAGTCTCAGAAGACTATAGAGTTGTGCTCTGGTTGTCGGTCTGGAGAGGCCTCTCCAGGACAAAAAGCCTGGGTAGGTTGATACGGAGGAGAAGCTGTTGCCCATGCAGCAGGTTCCCCCCCTCTCCACAGCATCGAAAGTCTCCATTGGATAGGCAAACGCCAATACGATTGGTTCCAGTGCCGTCACAGGAACTGATTGCTCCGGAGTTGACCTTGAAGTTGGTGAAAAAAAGGCACAGGGACTCCAAACCCGGAGAACGCCATGGTCAGGGCCGGAGAAAAACCACCCCCCATCAAGGGTATGAACGACCCCAGCCTCCTGAAGCAGAGCCTGGGCGGCACGAGCCCCAGGGAGGTGGACGTCCCGGTCCAGCACCTACAGGTTCCAGACAGAGATCATCACAGCCCTCTTTCAGCCGAGGCCGGCTTCCTTCAAGACCAAGCAGAAGGAAGAGTGATAATTATAAGCGTAATAAAGAGCAAGAATAAGATAATGAAGATGGGAAAGGCAGAAAAAAAAAGTCCAGAAATAATATAATGTACATCAAAAGAAAAGAGAACTTCCATGAATCAGAAACAGAAAAAATACTTGGAAGCGGACATAATTCTGACACAAACACCAGACACACACAAAACATGTAACATTGACAGCATATGGGAAACAGGTAAACAAATAAAAGGCATTAAATCATCTGAATGAGGATTCTTTCAAGACAATCTATACAGCTTATATGAAGCTGATACTGGTATACACAGCACCTTCATGGAAGCCATACAAGTGAAGCACAAGGTAAAGCCTGAAAACGTGCAGAGGTCTGTAGTACGATTAGTGCCAAAATTAAGTGGCCTAAGTTATATAGGGAACTGAATCCTACAACCCTAGAGGAGGGAAAGAACAGAGGGGAAAATGATTACTTCATTCAAGATACTGTGGGGAATAGATACAGTACACAAGGACAGCTTCATGAGATTAAGCAAAAGCACCACTATATTCAGCATTCAACAGTAGCACAACCCCACCTCTCATTTTTAATTACAATTAAACAAAGAGATTTACTATGAAATATGCATGAGCCTTTCAAATTGGAGTAATGTACCTGAGGAAAACAATCACATTGTCTGTATACAAGTGCAATTCAAAATGTATTCAAAATAATTACAGTACTGTACAACAAATATAGCAAAAATCTATAACTTTTTCCCCCTTGTATAGTAGCTACAAGACAGGAAGAACTATTCTGATAATCAGTAATACATTTCCTTCCCTGAAAATCTCTATCATCTATTCAAGATCAGTGTCACTAACCTTGGGAATAAATCCCAGTTATTGCCTAAGACAATAATAATCAGCCACAATCATCAATGCTAAACTAATGAAACTAACAAATTATATGCAACTTACTTTGGCTTACCCTCCCCTATGACCAGCTCTCTCATCTTGCGGCGAATTCTACTGCTCGTTCTCTCATCACTTAAGGAATTAGAGCTGATTGATGAGGGGATTGAGTTTGCTACCTTTCCTGGACTAGTTCTAGGAGTAGAGACGTAGAATTTCCGTCCATTGGAAGAGGGGCACTTTGTGAGACTGAAGTCCTCAACAAACAGAACACATCCACCACACAAAACTGTGGAGGCCACCAATATTTTCATTACCAACAAACTCTTTATGTACATATTTTATTTAAATACTGGGTATATACAACAAGAAGGTATAAAGGGTTGTGAAAGTACAGATTTTGGTGATATAATGGCACATCCTTGCAAAAACTATTAACATGCATAGTGTTCCGGGCAATAAACGTTCTCAAAATTTTTACACACTGAAAACTTGATATAAGCAGCAGCATTGATTGTATTGTCTTTCACTTTTTCACAAACAAATCAAGGATTAGAAGACAACAAATGCATAAATTACCTGAAACACAAGCTAGAATTAAATTTATTCTTACATGCCATCTTGTTGAAGTGGAATGGATCAAAATGGAATGCAGTTAAGTTCTCTGTATAGGATTTCTTCCAGAGTTTATTGTTGTGGCGAGTATCCCAGATGACGAGCGAGTACGGGGGGTGGAGTGCAGCCAGGAGGTGCTCACTGCCATCCACACCACCCAACCATTCCAATTCTGTTGATGAAATCAGCTATATTTTAACAATTTACCAGTTAAAATTACCTGGTGATGATAATTTTAATTTCTGTCATAATCAGAAAGATTTTAGACCTAGGTTTATGAAATTTGAGATGTATATACTGTGAGCCAAACCTGGGGAAGAATAAAGATCAAGTTACTATATTTTGCAGCATAGGAGAAGGTTGTCTGGAGGAGATTTTATAAGCACTCCTGCATGTGTAAAATTAACAAAGAAATTTGAACAAATTTTAAAGGAAGGCTAGTCACGTTAACAATATGCACGTGGTTGCAACAAAAGCCTCATACCAAATGAGTCATTAGGAGGAAGTACAAGGTCAGCACCTCACAAGAGTTGCAAATGGCTTGGGCCACCACCTGCTGGAGTGTAGGGAGTTGAATGGTACTTGATTCTAAGATTTGTTTGAGAGAGTGATGATATCTGAAAATATCTCGGAAAGAGGTTAGGCGTTTTATGACTTCCTTTAATTTTTAGGTCAGCTCACTTTGGTAAAGGGTTCATATTTCAGCCTAACCTGCACCATGCCTCACAGAGGAGGCAAATCAGTATGAAATGGTACAATACACAATATTGATTGTGGCTTGGGGTGCCGGTGTTGTAAGCTGAGGGAAGCTACCAAGAAAGACAGCCACAAAATGTAATGAGATTACAAACAATATAATTACAGGTATTTGAATAATTTAAAGAATTAAAACGCCATTCTGACGTACTGTACTATACCTTGTATTGGTTTATTGCCATCCTGGAGCGTGGCTGTCACTTCCCCTCTCGTTACCTCCCAAACATGAATTGTGCCATTGCTGTCTGCCGAGGCCAAACTAAGACTGTATGGGGTACTCAGCTGGTGGTAGTGTCGTGTTTTTCTCCATCGTACCTGCATTTTATAGGGGGGGTCAGCAAGGAAACTGGGCCTTTCTCTTTATTTTTGGTCATTTTTTAAAGTGGAACTTTTACACTTTATGAGAAAGGAGACAAAGACGAAAGGAAAGCACATACAGTACTGTTTATGTTTAATCAAAATACTGTATAAAAATGAGATGCAATATCACACCAGGGAACACAGAGTACAGTAATAAACTAACTCAACTAACCTTGACAATGTGGCTGCGGTGTTTGGAAAGTGTTTGGGCACACTGCAGAGTCACAGGGTCTACCACCACTACTGTTGTTTGTGCCCCATATGCCAAGAAGCCTTGCCAACCCCTGAGGATATATTTGATCAATGAGCAGTTATTTCAGAGTGAACACAAATATCTTTAGATATTTGATATTCAGATATCTTCAGAGCTTCATATATCTGCTCAAGCCTTTCCTCAAACCAAATCTAGAAACCACACCCACCCTCAAACCGCTTGGATGGTTATCTAGATATTTATGATGGTCTGAAAGAATATTACGATTCCAGTAATAGTCTACAAATAAACTGGTAAATGAACCTTTGTCATAAACAGAGATTATTCTCAAGTTATAACCTTAATGTAATAGAAATCATTGGTTTAAAATATAAAAGCGTTTGCTGATTTTTTTTTTAATTTGGTTTTCTGTAAAGAAATTCACATGCACTAAACCTTTAAACTGCGCATCACGTCATATAACGTGTTGGAGTACTACACAAGATTTAAACAGCACGCGGATACACGGAGTTCACCTTACCTTCATCAGGACTCTTGTAAACAGACACCATTTAAAATAAAATCATGGGCAACATTCCCAAGTGTCAGTTGGCCTCAGTACTGAGTGAGCCACCAAGGCTGGCGCACGCAGTATGAGCTCACAGCACTGGTGTCCAGCTTGTGACCACAGCATCGCCTAAAAATGTCAAAATATATATGTACATGCTATTATTTAGCAATGATAGTATTACAGAAGACTCATGACTGTAGTCAAAATTATCACGATTCTGATAATAGCAGGATTGTTGTGATAATTAGTGCTGTAGTGGGAGGAATAATCTTGGTAGGGAGGGAGGTAGCATTGTCTGCTGACTCTGTGTGACCACCTTTTACTGTCTAGACTCACTATACCAGCTTAGTGATTCGCTGTGGTGAACAAAACATGCAGATACTTATATATAACGTCTGTATATAGTGAATAAAAGCAAAAACAGTACCAGTATGGTGGGAGGGGGAATGTTGGTGCATCAGGTGAGGTGAGGGAGGGTGGCAGCCAGTGACGTGCTGCCACTGGCTGCCACTGCCACTCAGCATACCAACTTAGTGATTCATTATGGTGAACACAAATGTAGATACTTACATATAACGTGTATATATAGTGTAATAAGAGCAAAAGGAGCGTTGGGACAAGCTATTTTGGTGAGGGAGATGGCGTCATCTTCCTGACTTGTCATGCTGTGTAAGGGTGGTCATTATGCTCTTTGTGCACTATACCAGCTTAGATGAACAGTTATGGTGAACAGAACATGTAGATACTTATATATAACATCTGTATATTGTGAATAAAAGCAAAAAATTATGGTGGGAGAAGGATGTGGGCGAGTGAGGAGTCATTGAGGGAGGGAGTGGCAGCAAGAGGCTGGCTGGCCACTCCTCGTTGCCTTTTGACTCGCAATATCAACTTTGTGGTTCGTTATGGTGAACAAAACATGCAGATACTTATATATAACCTGTGTATATAGTGTAATAACCGACAAAGTATTTGTTTATTTTTTATGAACACAATAATTGAATCAATAATATTCACACCATAATTTTGAGTACAGCGATTTTTAACGATTCTTCGCGGCAGGGGATCGTATTCCAGGGACCTGCCCGAAACGCTACGCGTACTAGTGACTGTACAAGAATGTAACAACTCTTGTATATATCTAAAAAAAAAAAAAAAAAAAAAAAAAAAAACTGAGACCAGAACAGGACCTGGGAGACCCGAACCCTGGAACAGGGAAGATGGGAAATCAGATCAACCTAAAACGCATCCCCGGCCACAGAGCCCATGGCGTGCAAATAACGGTGAAAAGCAGCAACCGGACACAACACATGATGAACCCCAGACCTGACGAACCAAGCATCAACAACCCAAGGACCCCTTCGGAATGCAACAATCTCATTCTTCACCAGAAAAGAAGGAGACGGCTGCAAACAAACAAACCTACCACCAGGACCAAACAAGCAGAAACCCCTGCACCGGAGAAGAGCTTGAAGCTCCCTGACCCGACCCCCAGAGGCCAATGCCAACAAGAAAAGAGCCTAAGAGAAACAGTCCTGAACCGAAGGGGCCACTACAAACCGAGGAGAAGAGAGATAATAGAGCACCTTGTCAAGTGACCACTATGGCTCAAGCAGCGCATGAGCAGGCCGGAGGTGAAATAATGCATGAGACAGCTTGCGAAACGGTGCAGAAGTAACATCAATACCGAAAGCAAGCTGCAGCGGCTCTGTCAGCGCCGCACTATAGGAGGGGGGACAGCATTCGGCATAAGGCGACGGGCCTGGAACAACCAAGAAAGAAAGAAAGGACAAAACAACCTTAACCAACAGTGAAGTATACGTATGGTGCGGAAGAAAGAAACGAAAGGACTGCCAAGAGACTTTATACTGTCGCTTAGACAAAGCCCGCAGGTGGGACACCAACAAAGAAGCCACCTGATCACCACAGAGATGATGATAAACCCAAGTAAAAAATACCATACGCGAAGATTTGAGGAAAACATCGAACCAGCCACGTGACGTACCGGTCCGATCCGCTGAAAGAGGTGGAGCCGCAGAAAAACCTCCAGGGTTCGAACACTGTGCAAGCAGCGCCTGAAACCAAAGCTGGGCCAGCCAACATGGGGCCAAGAGGACTATTCGCCAATGGTAAGTCTCCAAGCGAGTCAGGACCAGGAGCAACAGCTGAACCGGGAGAAGAGGTACAGGAACCTCCACTTCGACCAGTCCTGCTGAAAGGCATCGACCCCGACAGCCTCACAGTTGGGGAAGGGTGCTACATATGCCAGAAAGCGCTGCAACCACACCGATGTGGAGAGGTCCACCTCCGGGCGGTCGAACTTCTGGCGGAGCCAACGGAAGGAGTCAGCATCAACCGTCCATTCCATGGACAGGGGAATTAAATGAGACAGGCCGTCCGCCAAGACGTTGGACACCCCCGAACGTGAACTACCAAGAGATCCAAAGCCCGAGAACCCAGCAGACGAGTAGCCCGAAGCGACAGCCGCCAAGGACCACATCGATCCCCCTCGGTTCAGACAATGAACCATTGGGGAGCAGTCCGAATGGAGCCGGATCGTTGATCCAAGGGCGACCCAAATCCTCCGAAGAGAAAACCACACCACCGCAAACTCCCGCACCGTGCTGTGTGCCTGACGGAAAGACGGACCCCACCGCCCCTGCTGGCCTGGTGAGCACTGGTCACAAAGCCCCAGCTGAAAGACGATGCATCCGTGAACACATCGAGCAAGGGCTCAGGAAGGCACTAAGGCACTGAACCCAGAAAAACCCGAAGAGGAAGCCAGTGATGCAGCAACCAGCGTTGGTTCACCCCCGGGGGTTGAACCAAGCGATCGCGAGAGAGGTGGAAGGGATGTCAACGAAGGAACCAGAACAGGCAACGCAGCCAAACCTGACCCAGCAGGTAGACCATTACGGCAAAATTCAGGCTCCCACACAAACCCTCGAGCAACCGCTGAGTGACCCGGGAGCCCCCAGAAACAGGAAAAGGCGGGACCGCAGCCGAAGGAGATACCCTGGAGGGAGAGACAAGGAAGCGGTCCGAGCCAAACAAACAAAAAACCCAGAAAAAAAAAAAAAAACCCAGCCAAGTTCGAACCTGGGAGGGAACCAAATGGGACTTCCTCCAGTTCACCAAGAACCCGAACCCGGCGAGCTGAGAAAGAACCAAATTCCCAGCGAGCAGACAAGCGGACCGGCTGGGAGCCCAGACTAGCCAGTCGTCGAGGTAGGCCAGCACTCGAACACCTAAGAGATGCAAACGGGCCACTATGACCCATGTAAGGCGTGTGAAAACACGAGGTGCCAGGTTCAACCCAAACGGGAGACAACGAAAGCGGTAACATTGACGCCCCACAACAAAACCAAGAAAATCCCTGAACCCCGGATGAATTGGGACATGCCAATACGCGTCCCTCCTGCCAATATATGAGCATCATGTTCATTTGCTCATTTTTGTTTGGGGAGTTCTGTCCACTAGTTCGGCTCTCAGTAGCAATTTCTCAACTAGAATAGGGGTTTGTTTTGGGATGCTTACCTTTTTGGGTGCCTAAATGTTTTCTCCTCTCAATGACTGCATGAGGGAAATGTTGGGAGATGTATCACTCACAGTGATGAATCATTATTTATGATTTGGCAAGGCCTAAATGTTGCAGTTGCCAGTTTATGCAAGAATGATGATGAAATTAGATGTGTTTGAGTTAAGACTTGACACACGGTAGCAAGGGTTGGATATTGTGTTGATGGTATCAGCCAATCATTGCTGTTCTCTCTACATCCAGGGTTATGTTTTCTATGCATGATTGTCCAGGTGGTCTGAGTCACATGAACAGGTCATATGTGACCTACTTTTTTGGTTGACTGGAGATATTAGCGCAATGCTTTGACTACTCAATATGTTATATAGAGAGGCATTGTGTGTTTTAATGGGTCAAGATATAACTCTAATTCATTCAGGTTTATTGCTCCTCCAGGGTGATATGCCTAGGAAGGAAATGTGTGTCATTGTAAGATGTTAAGCATGCTAAAGTTTCTAGTTTATTATTTGAGGATTGATTTGGGTTTATGGGTTTGCTTGTTAGTTTACTTCTTGTTAAAAAGAAAATGCCTCCACCCATGCTATTATTTCTGTCCTGTCTCTATATGTATATATGAAAAGATTTTATATGAATATATAATTTTTTAATATATGAAAGATTTTGAAAACGGGAATTATATTTTGAAGTTAGCCATGATTCAGTTTTGAAAACTAGATCTTGCTTTATAAGTAGATTTTTTTTAATTCTATGAGCGATATTTTGATGTTTTTAGCATTCTAGGTCATGAAGGTCAAAGCAGCATCATTCAGTATGTTTGGTTTATGATTCCATTTGTTTATTTTGGTGTTCAGAGGCACAGCATGTTAGATATCTGGGAATGTTTAAGGGTTGTAGCTGGGTTGGTGTAGTTTTTTTTTTTTTTCACTCTGATGAGTGCCAAGTCATTGGTTGTTTAATCCAACAGCTGTAAATTTCTTGTTCTTATTTTCTGCAGCTGTGTTATGTGGCAAGTCAATGTGGAGGATGTATTTTTGTTTTATTTTGCTAAGTATTTACTTACTACTTGGCCCAGTGCCAGTTATATACTCAACTACCAACTGCCACTGGCAGTTGTGTTAGTCTGGATTTGACTTTCTGTAGGTGTGAGTGTTATGAGTCTGTCTCGGGGACGGAATGGATTTGTTATGACCATGTTAAGAAGTTGGTTCGGCGTCATTTCTATTGCATTTTCAATAACCAGTTGTAACTTTCCTGGCTAAATGAATTTGGAGTTCAGTTCCTGAATCCATTATGTGTCTCTTAACATTTTTCACTATTGCCCACAGGATGGGTATGGGGTGCACAATAAATGAACAAATGAAATAACGTGCATTTCCTTTCACCTAGCAGTAAATAGGTACCCGGATGTTAGCAAACTGTTGTGGGGTTGCTTCTTGGGGAGGGTCAGTATTTCGACCTTCGGGGGACCTCGATATAGGCCGCTTCCTTTCATATAGAATACGGTAGCAACACATTACTGTATACCCAGGCTTAAAACAAAAAAAGGCTTCCTGTCCCTGAAAAAACGATTTACTTTTTATTTTTAGCATCCTGGGCAGATAGATGCGTGATATGTGAAGCAACAACACTCATCCTGTCAATGTTACTCATCTTGACAACACCTTTAGAAAGTTGCCCTACTGCCTTCATTATCTCTCCTCACCAGTCTATAGCTCCTTTATTCTGTGGACTGACAGGTCCTGGTATTGTTCTGGGCAGAACTCGCTGTAAATTGACGGGGAAATGCGGTAATGGCGAGCTTTTCCCCGCCTCCGTCACCTCTCCTGTCTCGACAACCAGCGCCATCGTCTGTTTATTTACATCCGTTTTCTGTTGCCACATCATGACTGCAAACCCTCACCTGAACCAGGCGCCTGGTGACGTCACTACTACTGGCACCCCTCACCTGAACCAGGCGCCTGGTGACGTCACCACTACTGGCACCCCTCACCTGAACCAGGCGCTTCGTGACGTCACCACTACTGGCACCCCTCACCTGAACCAGGCGCCTGGTGACGTCACCACTACTGGCACCCCTCACCTGAACCAGGCGCCTGGTGACGTCACCACTACTGGCACCCCTCACCTGAACCAGGCGCCTGGTGACGTCACCACCACTGGCACCCCTCACCTGAACCAGGTGCCTGGTGACGTCACCACTACTGGCACCCCTCACCTGAACCAGGCGCCTGGTGACGTCACCACCACTGGCACCCCTCACCTGAACCAGGCGCCTGGTGACGTCACTACCACTGGCAAACCCTCACCTGAACCAGGTGCCTGGTGACGTCACCACCACTGGCACCCCTCACCTGAACCAGGCGCCTGGTGACGTCACCACTACTGGCACCCCTCACTTGAACCAGGCGCCTGGTGACGTCACCACCACTGACACCCCTCACCTGAACCAGGCGCCTGGTGACGTCACCACTACTGGCACCCCTCACCTGAACCAGGCGCCTGGTGACGTCACCACTACTGGCACCCCTCACCTGAACCAGGCGCCTGGTGACGTCACTACCACTGGCAAACCCTCACCTGAACCAGGTGCCTGGTGACGTCACCACCACTGGCACCCCTCACCTGAACCAGGCGCCTGGTGACGTCACCACTACTGGCACCCCTCACTTGAACCAGGCGCCTCGTGACGTCACCACCACCGGCACGCTCACCTGAACCAGGCGCCTGGTGACGTCACCACTTCTGGCACCCCTCACCTGAACCAGGCGCCTGGTGACGTCACCACTTCTGGCACCCCTCACCTGAACCAGGCGCCTGGTGACGTCACCACCACTGACACCCCTCACCTGAACCAGGCGCCTGGTGACGTCACCACCACTGACACCCCTCACCTGAACCAGGCGCCTGGTGACGTCACCACTTCTGGCACCCCTCACCTGAACCAGGCGCCTGGTGACGTCACCACTTCTGGCACCCCTCACCTGAACCAGGTGCCTGGTGACGTCACCTTACTGACGCCCTCACATGAACGTCGAGTAGCCATTTATTAAAAAAAGAACGCATTTTTTTACCATTCCGCCCATTTGTCCACGTCATCTTAACTGTAATCGTTGCTATCTTCCAGTCTTAGTCAGTGGCGCGTCATGATAAATGCTAGGGTAAGCAAATGAACCCAACATTTTTATTGGAGATGAAGTATGCATACTAATATACTAACTCAACTGTATAAATTTCTTATGCACTCCTATTTGGATTATTTTATCCAAGCATGGAGACTTCATCTTCTGAGACATAGTTGCTCTGGAGAAAGTGCAACACCGGGCAACAAAAATCATTCCAGAGCAAAGTCAACTCTCATACCAGGAATAGTTGAAGGCCACAGGATTAACACTGCAAACCAAGCATGAAAGGGCTGATATCTCACTGAATTTTTTATAATACCTGTACTGAACAATCCGAAGAATTTATTTAATTGAAAATCTTAGGTTTAGTTAGTTTAGTTCATTTATTATGCACCCCATACCCATCTTGTGGGCGGTAGTGGAAAGGGTTACAGAGGCACATAATGGGCTCAGGGACTGAACCCCACAATTCATTTAGCTAAGCAAGTTAGTCTTGATGAGCTAGTTACAAAATTCAATATAAGTCGTCACATCAACAATGGGTTCGAGATCGACCTCAAGTACAGGTTCTAAATTAAGCAACTGACATATGTGGAGAGCTAGTGTCACAATTGATATGTTTGTCCTGCACACCGCCCCCCATCCAGTGGGCAGCGGTGGATAGGTTACAATCACTTAGTTACTACCTACAGTTAGCAAACTGGGGATATTTGGCTAAAATTTCTGGTAGCAGATCATTTTGAATGAAATATTTACACATCGCTGGAACATTGGTTATAGAATTGTCTCTAAATTCACGTATCTTTTCGCACTCCATCACATAGTGACGGAGGGTGTGCGAATAATTTTGTTGACACAGTTTACATTTGGTCAGGTCTACATCGGCAGATAATGAGAATTCCCAGAGATACTTGTAACCGAGTCTAAGCCAAGCAGTAGTAACATCTAGAAATCTGCTGATATTATTGGATGATCCATAGATGTGTGGCTCCTCTTGCATGATAGTATGATGATAGATGGAATTACTGGTGTCAATTTCACTTTGCCTCAGATCTACAAGATCGTGTTGAAGTTCTCGGTTTACTGCTGCTCTCAGATTGCTCATTGACAATTCAACGGCTCCTTTAAAGGCAGATTCTATGGCTAACTTATCAGCTCTATCATGCATTCGGAGGCCAACATGAGATGGAGACCACATGAAATGAACTCTGTTACCATCCTTAATAATTTTGTTGTATTTGTGTCTAGCTTCGGGCACGAGCATGTTACAATTATGTCTTAAAGAGTTGAGAGCATTTAAGGATGATAAGGAGTCACTTACAATTAATGTATCAAGTTTGGAGACTTGTACACATTTCAGTGCAAGGAGCAAGGCAAATAGTTCAGTCTGAAGGGTAGAGGCCCAGTTGTTTATACGGACTCCCCACTCAAAGTACAAGCCATCGCCCATTGTCAGAACAACTGCACTTCCAGCTGCACCCGTGGTGCGGTGTAGGGAACCATCAGTGTATATGATTTGAGAGAGAGAATGCTCTGTGGACAGAGCATCAATATGACTTAAGGCGTTGAGCTTTGCCTCAAGACGAAGCTTGAGCTGATCTCTAATTTGCTTCTTGGGTGGAAAAGGAGGGATTAAAACTGGAAAGGGTGTAACCTCCCACGGTGCAGGAAAGTGCCGTTGTTGTTTCTCTTGGTACAAATCATGAACCTGATACATTCTAACTCATCCTAATCCTTGCACAGAAGCCCTCCAGAATTTCTTTATTGAAGATCAGCATTGTTCCAAATGGATAACAAAAACTGAAAATCTTAGGTATATACAACAATGCGTTGCTACCATATTCTAGAACAATAGAACCATTAGAACAATATCCAACTCTGGCCCCAGACATCACTCGGTACCCCTACTCAAATCTCTTAATATGTTAGATATCAAGTCTCTGCACATTCTCTCATGTGTATTATACATATATAAAACGCTAAACTATAATGCCAATCCTGATCTTAAAAGCTTCATAGTAGGTTGTAACAGAACCCATGAGCACCACACCAGAAATAAATACAGTTTTGATATTCCTAGAGTACGTCTTAATCAAACTAGAAATGCTCTGCAAATCAAGGGGCCCAGAATGTGGAATGACCTTCCCAACCATGTTAAAGACTGTACCTCTCTCAACCAGTTTAAGATAAAAACTAAACACTACCTAATAAATTCCCTGTAATCTACCTCACTCCTCTATTGTCAACCCATGTCTGTTATTTTCTTTTTTTTTTTTTTTTTTTTTAATCAACACTGTTTGTCAACCTATTGTATTTGTGCTGCTTTTTCAGTCATGTTTCCCCCTTTTTTTTATCTTTATTTGTATTTGTTCTCAACATCTTTTATTCTTTATGCTCAATTAGTATTAAGTTCTAGATATTAATGTTTTCTTGCCCGAAACGCATTGCGTAATAGTGGCTTTAGGCATTGTATGTACTAGATCTATCTATATATCAATCCATTAATGTAACATCACTTGTATGTATATACCTTACCTGAATAAACATCTGAATCTGAATCTGAATCTGAATCTATATGAAATATTACACAGTGTAGATAAGAAAAACTAGCTATAAGTTAGTCTAGTAATCCCATCTCGCAGGGTTTCTAGTCATATATGAATCAGAAGAGAACATGAAATACGGGGCTGATCTGTTAGCCTGCACTAGCAGAATCTGGATAGGGTAAAAGAATATCTTCCAATCTTTAACAGGAAATGAGATTACCCTGCCCTGGTGACGCTCTATTACTCTCTCATCTGTCCTTATGTCAACTATGGTATTTGTGCTTGGGGTTCTACTACCCAAAATCATCTACGTCCTCTAATTACTCAACACAAAGCTGCTATTAGAAAAGTAACAAACTCTGGACCAAGACAGCACTCGGTACCCTTATTTAAATCTCTGAATATGTTAGATATTAAGTCACTGCACATCCTCTCAAGAGTACACATCCTCTCAAGATTTAAAACTCTGAACTGTAATGCCAATCTTGACCTTAAATGCTTCCTTGAAGGTTGTAACAGAACCCATGGGCACCAAACTAAAAACAAATACCTATTTGATATTCCAAGAGTACGACTTAGTCAAACTAGAAATGCTCTACAAATCAAGGGACCCAGAATGTGGAATGACCTTCCTAATCATGTCAAAGGCTGTACCTCTCTCAACCAGTTTAAGAGAAAAACTAAGTACTTCCTAATACACTCCATGTAATCTACCTTACCCCCTAAATGTCAACCCATGTCTTCATATTTTCAAACAATACTCTTTGTTGACCAACTTGTTTAACAAGTTTCCGCCATATTTTCCCCCCTTTTTCCCTTTTTAAGTCAATTTATGCTTTGATCTCAATTAGTATTCAATTTTAGTCTAAGTGTTTTTTCTCACACCTTGTCCGAAACGCTGTGCGTATATAAATGGCTTTAGGCATTGTATGTACTAGCTCTATCTAGAAATCCAACATTATGGTTGTAACTCATCTTGTATATATGTACTTTTACCTGAATGCACATCTGATATGATTTGTGAGTATATGAAGTAATTACAGAGCGTGAATTCAAAGACAATTCTATAACCAATGTTCCAGCGATGTGTAAATATTTCATTCAAAATGATCTGCTACCAGAAATCTTAGCCAAAAATCCCCAGTTTGCTAACTGTAGGTAGTAACTGAGTGATTGTAACCTATCCACCGCTGCCCACTGGATGGGGGGCGGTGTGCAGGACAAACATATCAATTTTGACACTAGCTCTCCACATATGTCAGTTGCTTAATTTAGAAACTGTACTTGTGGTCGATCTCGAACTCATTGTTGATGTGACGACTTATTCTGATTTTTTTAACTAGCTCATCAAAGTTGTAACTTGCTTAGCTAAATGAATTGTGGGGTTCAGTCCCTGAGCCCATTATGTGCCTCTGTAACCCTTTCCACTACCGCCCACAAGATGGGTATGGGGTGCATAATAAATGAACTAAACTAAAAAAAAAAAATATGCTGTTCGTACATATAATTCTCGGTTCTAAACATGTCATACTCTATATACTCGTGCTTTCTGGCCCTTGTGTGTCAGTGACTGCTCTCCTGTCTTCCCTAATTTCTTGAAATACTGCGATTTTTTCAATTGAGGTCGGAATGCCCAGATTTAACTCAATTTCTGGCTTATCACATGCAGTTTTAGCTGCCTTGTCTGTGTCGTCATGCAGGACAACACCTGTGTGAGATGGTATCCATACAAATATAGGGTCCCAGTGGTACTGTAGCGAGTAAACATTATCCTCGCTCCAATCTCTCATTATCGGGCCGAGCTTTGGGGAGTAGAAGAACTCCCAGAACCCCATCAACCAGGTATCAACCAGGTATCTTAATGACAAACTAATTAGCACTAATTATGACCATTAAATCCTTTCCCTAATTACAGGTAACATTCTTTCCGTCCTACTGGAGGAAGCTGAGGAGTAGTCCAAAAATATAAGCAGTCAATAATCGAGTAAGCACACAGCCCCGCTCCTGTGCCAGGTAAGTCCACTACGGGCTCACCATAGCCCGTGCTACTTGGAACTTTTATTCCCAGTAGCTGAATCTTTAACAACAAACAACGAGTAAGCATCAGTACAATTTCCACAGTGATTCAGTTAACTTCAGTACAGACGCTTCGGATTTACCACACCTCTTCAACCCCAAGAATGTAGCACTTGGCATATACAGTTCCGACCAATCCCAAGACGCTACAGCTTCGACACAGAGTAGACAGCAGACTACGACCGCATCCAGCTACAACGGTCTCTTTTCCCATCGAGTTTAGACACCCGCCATTCCCCATTGAGCCGCCACGCTCTCCCTCATAGAGCTCCGCGACTCCGGCCTCACGCAGCTTTCTGCTCTGCTTCAAGCTTCGTCTCAACGTCTACGACACTGCCAACAACCGACTGCTATAACCAAGACTACTAAATAAATATGAAGCCCATTAAACACTGCGTATCAAATCTGCCCAAAAACGTAACATAATCGTACGTTACAGTACAGTCGGGTTCGTTCTCGACGCACAATCGAGATTACCGGGTTCGAATCCCGGGCAGGACAGAAATTGTTGGGCACAATTCTGTCCACCTAATGCCTCTGTTCACCTAGCAGTAAGTAGGTACTCAGGAGTTAGTTAGCTTGTTGTGGGGTTACATTCTGGGCGGGGTCAGTAATTCGGCCTTGGGGGGGGGGGGACCTTGATATAAGCCTAACGTGTATGAATAGACTCTGGCTTCCTGTCCCCCGACACAATGAATTAAATGAAACTCTGAAACTGTTGCACTTTGCATTAATAATGTTGTTTATAATGGATGTTACAACATTCCTAGTGTCTATTTTGCATGTTGGGGTTTGAAGTGCTTGAAGAGCTGACTTTGAATCACAGAATATTACTCCTCAGCTGTTCTTCAGTGTGTTAGTGGCAAGTTGTACTGCAGCTAATGTGTGTGTGTGAAGCTAAGCCAGTTATCCAGTCTCACACTTGTGGTCTGTGTACATGTGTTGTCTTTGTATATTCTACAGGCTGCTGCAGTGTGACCTGTTCACTGTGAACACATCCACCAACGTAAGCATAGTGCTCTTGAAGCTGTAAGTTATTTATAAAGCAATCAATAGTTTGAAGTGCTGTTGCTTTCAGGAGTGCTGGTAGTTCTCTGCTCTGTCCATCCAGACAACTTCTGTTTAAAGTCAGGTTATTTTATTTATTGATTTATTTATTATTTGTTTATATATATATAAGAAGGTACAATGGGTGTATGAGAGTACAAAGCACTGATGTTTTTACATTTTGTAAAGCCATTAACAAGCATAGCGTTTCGGGCAGGTTCGTAATCTAAGAAATAATTTTAATTGTACATACTAGAAATGCTTTACAAATCAAGGGACCTCGAATGTGGAATAACCTTCCCAAATACGTTAAAGACTGTACCTCTCCCAACCAGTTTAAGATAAAAACTAAGTACCACCTAATTAACTTAATGTAACCTACCTCACCCCTAAATGTCAACCCATGTCTACGATTTATGCAATAATTTGTAATTGTATTTGTGCTGCTTTTTCAACAATGTTCCCCCCCCTCTTTTACCTCTATTTTTATTTGTTCTCAACACATTTTATTCTTTTTACCCATTAGTTTTAAGCTTTAGTCATTAATGTTTTTCCTGCCCGAAACGCTTTGCGTAATAGTGGCTTTAGGCATTGTATGTACTAGCTCTATCTATAAAGCCAACAAACTTTGTAAAATCTCCTTATGTATGTACCTTTGCCTAAATAAAAATTATTATTATTATTATTATTATTATTATTATTATTATTATTTTAAACAATGCTGTTTGTTGACTAAATTGTATTTTTGTTTTTATCTGCCATGTTCCCCCCTCCCCTCCCTCCCTCCCTTTTTCATTTTTTTCTGATTTTTTCTCAGCACAATATATACTTTATTCTAAGTTAGTATTAAGTTTTAGTCTTAGTGTTTTTCCTGCCCGAAACGCTTTGCGTAATAGTGGCTTTAGGCATTGTATGTACTAGCTCTATCTGTAAATCCATCAACTTTTGTATTTCACCATGTTCTGAAACATGGTTTCAGAACAGGGCGCTCTTGCCTGTCGCAGTTGCTGGACCACTATGATATGGCATTAGATGCTATGGAAGACAAACAAAACGCTGATGTAATTTACACAGATTTCGCAAAAGCTTTTGATAAATGTGACCATGGCGTTATTGCACATAAAATGCATTCAAAAGGAATTACCGGAAAAATAGGCAGATGGATCTACAATTTCCTGACCAACAGAACCCAATGTGTAATAGTCAACAAAATAAAATCCAGCCCATCAACCGTGAAGAGCTCAGTCCCCCAGGGTACTGTGCTTGCTCCAGTACTTTTTCTCATCCTCATATCGGACATAGACAAGAACACAACCTATAGCACTGTATCATCCTTTGCAGATGACACTAGGATCTTCATGAGAGTAGGCAACATAGAGGACACGGCAAACCTCCAGTCAGATGTAGATCAGGTCTTTCTATGGGCTACAGAAAATAATATAGTGTTTAACGAAGATAAGTTCCAGCTCATGCGCTATGGAAAAAATGAAAATATAAAAACAGAAACCACGTACAAAACTCAGGCAAATCATAACATAGAACGAAAAGGCAATGTAAAGGATCTGGGTGTACTCATGTCGGAAGACCTTACTTTTAAAGAACACAATAAAGTAGCCGTCACAACTGCAAGAAAAATGACAGGTTGGATAACAAGAACTTTTCACACTAGAGATGCTATACCGATGATGACACTTTTCAAGACGCTTGTGCTCTCTAGAGTGGAGTACTGCTGCACAATGACAGCCCCTTTCAAAGCTGGAGAAATTGCTGACCTGGAGAGCGTGCAGAGATCCTTTACTGCTAGAATCCACCAGGTAAAACACCTAAACTATTGGGACCGACTAAAGAGCCTAAATCTGTACTCCCTTGAGCGCAGGCGGTAGAGATACATAATAATTTACACGTGGAAAATATTAGAGGGGCTGGTCCCAAACCTGCACACAGAAATAACACCACATGACACCAGAAGACATGGCAGGATGTGCAGAATACCCCCGTTGAAAAGTGGAGGTGCAACAGGTACTCTGAGAGAGAACTCTATCAACATCAGAGGCCCGAGACTGTTCAACACGCTTCCACTACACATAAGGGGCATAACTGGCAGACCCCTCACAGTGTTCAAGAGAGAACTGGATAAGCACCTCCAAAGAATACCTGATCAACCAGGTTGTGACTCATACGTCAGGCTGCGAGCAGCCGCGTCCAACAGCCTGGTTGATCAGTCCAGCAACCAGGAGGTCTGGTCGACGACCGGGCCGCGGGGACGCTAAGCCCCGGAAGCACCTCAAGGTAACCTCAAGGTAAGGTTGTATGTATGTACTTTACCTGAATATTTGTATTTGTAAGTAGGCAATTTGTAGCGAAATAGAAAGATGTAACACATACCAGGAGCACCGGCGTCAAGCTCAACACGCCACACTGTAGTAAAAAAAAAAAAACAGATGTTCTTCCACCCATAGTACAATTCAGGTAAATTCAGGTGCAACGTTCACTTATGTTACGTTGTTGGGTAGATTAGATACACAGTGTTTAGTGGGCTTTCATATTTATTTAGCAGTCTTGGATACAGCAGTGTCGTGGACGTTTAGGCAGAGCAGAGAGCTGAGTGAGGCCAGAGTCGCGGAGCTCGATGCGGGCGAGTGTGGCGGCTGGATGGGGAATCGTGAGTGTCTAAACTCGATGGGGAGCGAGAGCATTGTAGCTCGATGCACTCGTAGTCTGCTGTAGTAAATTCGAGTAACTTCAAGAAGTAGTAATATCAAATATTATTTTAACTTATTATATTAAACACAATTCAATAGAATTGTTCTTAGCCACCCAGTAAAACTGTTTGTGACTTTACTGTAACATTTTGGCTTGCTCTGAAGATCATGCAATAATTCTGTATACAGTATTTGACAACTTTTTAAATACATAAGTATTCCATACACTTTTATCATTTGAAAACAAAAGACTTGTAGACAAAAAATCAAACCATAATGTAGGACTGAAAACAAGAGATGCTTTTTCATTCACAGGGTGAACCCATTTTCACCCATGGAACTGCTTACCCGCCGAAGCTGTAACTGCCAAAACTGTGCTGAGTTTTAAAATATGCTTGGAAAAGATCATCAAGGCAAATGGAGGGACCTTCGACAAGCCTCCGGCTTTCTGTCCTCGTCGAGGCTACTAGTGCTAGTCGCCCTCAGGTAAATCAGGTATGTCCAACAATTACACTTTGGCCACGGAGACTGCATTTTCAGTTGTCGGGTAATGAATCCAGATAAATGCGTGCAGCGTGAGTACATCACCCCTGAAAGTCAACTGATTGTTTTAAGTAAAGTGTTGACCAGATAACAGTAGCCTCTCACAGTTACAATCTCTCAAACCAAAATCTAACAATTCGAAAACAAGTTTAGAGCATTATTCATAAAGTCTAAGGAATCGGGGCATAACGTTTCACAACCCACAGCCTTCCTGAAGAAAGGGTATCGGGGGCCGTGCCAAGGCTGGATTAAGATTTTGTTGGCCCCTGGGCTACAGGTACTGTGAGGGCCCCTGGGCTACAGGTACTGTGAGGCCCCTGGGCTACAGGTACTGTGTGGCCCCTGGGCTACAGGTACTGTGAGGCCCCTGGGCTACAGGTACTGTGTGGCCCCTGGGCTACAGGTACTGTGAGGCCCCTGGGCTACAGGTACTGTGAGGGCCCCTGGGCTACAGGTACTGTGAGGCCCCTGGGCTACAGGTACTGTGTGGCCCCTGGGCTACAGGTACTGTGAGGCCCCTGGGCTACAGGTACTGTGAGGGCCCTGGGCTACATGTACTGTGTACGGCCCTGGGCTACAGGTACTGTACTCACCTAGTTGTACTCACCTAGTTGTGCTTGCGGGGGTTGAGCTCTGGCTCTTTGGTCCTGTGAGGCTCTTTGGTCCTCTTACTGTGAGGCCCCTGGGCTACAGGTACTGTGAGGGCCACTGGGCTACAGGTACTGTGAGGGCCCCTGGGCTACAGGTACTGTGAGGGCCTCTGGGCTACAGGTACTGTGAGGGCCCCTGGGCTACAGGTACTGTGAGGGCCTCTGGGCTGCAGGTACTGTGAGGGCCCCTGGGCTACAGGTACTGTGAGGGCCTCTGGGCTGCAGGTACTGTGAGGGCCCCTGGGCTACAGGTACTGTGAGGCCCCTGGGCTACAGGTACTGTGAGGCCCCTGGGCTACAGGTTTTTAGTTAGTTTAGTTCATTTATTATGCACCCCATACCCATCTTGTGGGCGGTAGTGGAAAGGGTTACAGAGGCACATAATGGGCTCAGGGACTGAACCCCACAATTCATTTAGCTAAGCAAGTTACAATCTTGATGAGCTAGTTACAAAATTCAATATAAGTCGTCACATCAACAATGGGCTCGAGATCGACCACAAGTACAGTTTCTAAATTAAGCAACTGACATATGTGGAGAGCTTATCTTGAGGTTATCTTGACATGATTTCAGGCTTTTTAGTGTCCCTGCGGCCTGGTCCTCGACCAGGCCTCCACCCCCAGGAAGCAGCCCGTTACAGCTGACTAACACCCAGGTACCTATTTTACTGCTAGGTAACAGGGGCATAGGGTGAAAGAAATTCTGCCCATTGTTTCTCGGCGCCTGGGATCAAAGCCAGGACCACAGGACCAGGTCTCGGAGTGGCGTGGAGTCACCAGTGGAGTCCCACAGGGATCAGTCCTTGGACCTATACTGTTTCTGATATACGTAAATGATCTTCCAGAAGGAATTGATTCATTCCTCTCGATGTTTGCTGATGACGCGAAAATTATGAGGAGGATCAGGACAGAGGAGGATAGTACGATGCTACAAGATGTCCAAGACAAACTGAAGGAATGGTCCGACAAATGGCTACTAAAGTTCAACCCAAGTAAATGTAAGGTAATGAAACTAGGAGGAGGAACTAGGAGGCCAGTCACTGGATACCGAATGGGAGATGAAGTCCTTCACGAAACGGACAGAGAGAAAGATCTGGGAGTTGATATCACGCCAAACCTGTCTCCTGAAGCCCACATCAAAAGAATAACATCAGCGGCCTGTGCGAGCTGGCTAACATCAGAACTGCTTTCAGAAACCTGTGTAAGGAATCCTTCAGAACCTTGTATACCACATATGTAAGACCAATCCTGGGGTATGCAGCCCCAGCATGGAGCCCGTACCTAGTCAAGCACAAGACGAAACTGGAAAAAGTTCAGAGGTATGCCACTAGGTTAGTCCCAGAACCAAGAGGCATGAGTTATGAGGACAGACTACGTGAACTGCACCTCACGTCGCTGGAAGACAGAAGAGCTAGGGGAGACATGATCACCACATACAAAATTCTCAGGGGAATTGACAGAGTGGACAAGGATGGATTATTTAACACGGGTGGCACACGCACAAGGGAACACAGGTGGAAGCTGAGTACCCAAATGAGCCACAGAGACATTAGAAAGAATTTTTTCAGTGTCAGAGTAGTTAGTAAATGGAATGCACTAGGAAGTGATGTGGTGGAGGCTGACTCCATACACAGTTTCAAATGTAGATATGACAGAGCCCAGTAGGCTCAGGAATCGACACTCCCTGAGAAAGTGTCACAATTGATATGTTTGTCCTGCACACCGCCCCCCATCCAGTGGGCAGCGGTGGATAGGTTACAATCACTTAGTTACTACCTACAGTTAGCAAACTGGGGATATTTGGCTAAGAGTTCTGGTAGCAGATCATTTTGAATGAAATATTTACACATCGCTGGAACATTGGTTATAGAATTGTCTCTGAATTCACGTATCTTTTCGCACTCCATCACATAGTGACGGAGGGTGTGCGAATAATTTTGTTGACACAGTTTACATTTGGTCAGGTCTACATCAGCAGATAATGAGAATTCCCAGAGATACTTGTAACCGAGTTTAAGCCGAGCAGTAGTAACATCTAGAAGTCTGCTGATTTTATTGGATGATCCACAGATGTGTGGCTCCTCTTGCATGATAGTATGATGATAGATGGAATTACTGGTGTCGATTTCACTTTGCCTCAGATCTACACGATATTGTTGAAGTTCTCGGTGTACTGCTGCTCTCAGATTGCTCATTGACAATCCACGGTTATACTTAATTTCTCCTTTAAAGGTAAATTCTTTGGCTAACTCATCAGCTCTATCATGCATCTGGAGGCCAAGATGGACTCTGTTACTATCATTAATAATTTTGTTGTATTTGTGTCTTGCTTCGGACACGAACATGCTACAGTTATGTCTTAAAGAGTTGAGAGCAATTAAGGATGATAAAAGCAATTAAGGATGATAAAGAGTCACTTACAATTAATGTATCAAGTTTGGAGACTTGTACACATTTCAGTGCAAGGAGCAAGGCAAATAGTTCGGTCTGAAGGGTAGAGGCCCAGTTGTTTATACGGACTCCCCACTCAAAGTACAAGCCATCGCCCATTGTCAGAACAACTGCACTTCCAGCTGCACCCAGCTGTGGTGCGGTGTAGGGAACCATCAGTGTTATTGCTGAGCACCCACAGGGTTAACCCTGTGGCACCCACAGGGTTATTAACTCATGGAACCGCCTACCCACCATAGCAACCGCCTACCCACTCGGGTCAAATAATTCCCATGTTCCCCCCTTTTTTTATTTTTATTTTTTCTCAACACATTTTATACTTTAATGTCAATTAGTATTAAGTTTTAGTCTTTAATGTTTTTCCTGCCCGAAACGCTTTGCGTAATAGTGGCTTTAGGCATTGTATGTACTAGCTCTATCTGTAAATCTATCAACTTTTGTATCACCTCTTGTATGTATGTACTTTACCTGAATAAACATTTGAATTTGAAAATTTGAATTTGAATTAATGTAATAAGGAGGAAGAGGAAAATGAGGAGGAATGGGAGAAAGAAAAAAAGGAGAAGGAGGAGGAGGATAAGAAGGAGGAGGATAAGAAGGAGGAGGATAAGAAGGAGGTGGAAAAGAAGGAGGAGGATAAGAAGGAGGAGGATAAGAAGGAGGAGGATAAGGAGGAGGATAAGAAGAAGGAGGATAAGAAGGAGGAGGATAAGAAGGAGGTGGAAAAGAAGGAGGAGGATAAGAAGGAGGAGGATAAGAAGGAGGAGGATAAGAAGGAGGAGGATAAGAAGGAGGAGGATAAGAAGGAGGTGGATAAGAAGGAGGAGGATAAGAAGGAGGTGGATAAGAAGGAGGAGGATAAGAAGGAGGAGGATAAGAAGGAGGTGGATAAGAAGGAGGAGGATAAGAAGGAGGTGGATAAGAAGGAGGAGGATAAGAAGGAGGTGGATAAGAAGGAGGAGGATAAGAAGGAGGAGGATAAGAAGGAGGTGGATAAGAAGGAGGAGGATAAGAAGGAAGAAGTAGGAGAAAGAGGGAGTTTAAACCTGGAGGGTGGAGGGTGGCGAGTGACGGGAGCCAATGAGCGGACGCCACACGTGTCATGGTGGCCGCCAGCACCTGCCGGCACCTCACCTCTCTCACTACCACCTCACTCACGCCTCACATACACCACTCATACACTCCACACTCGCCATACACTGACCCCAACACCCTCGCCACACGCTGCTCACCCTGCAAGTGTGAGAGTGAGAGTGCTGCAGGAGAGAGAGGGAGTGTGGAGCGTGGCAGCCTTACATCTGGACGATCAGCTGTTGGACTTAAGCTGGTCAGCTGCAGGTTGTTTACATATACTGCTGGCAGTGTGTGCATGCACTTGGGGCGCCGAGTGCCTCACACTCTACACTCTTGGGTCTAAGTGTGCTCGTGGAAGCTGGCAGTTGACTGGAAGACATTTGTCTCAGGTGAGAACCATCATGATTGGCATCTGGTAATTCTTGTATTTTGTCAAGCAAAATAGTCTTCCTCAGTGGCTACTGTATTGTCTACGTGTTTATTACGGTGTTCTGCGGCTTAAATTTGTTTATGTATGTGTTCAGGTTGGGCAGTGTTGGAGGGGATGTGAAGTGATGCAAGAGTGTAAGACACAGGCTGCTGCTCTGGGGCTGTCAGTACCTGTCAGTACCTTGCTGTCAGTGTCCCTGGGGGGGGGGGCCTTGTGGGGGCCCCACAGGGACCCAAGGGGTACTACCAGGTCTACACTTGTCTGGTTGTTCCCATTGTTTTACAACTTAACGTTGACGTTAAATTTGTCAAAGTAGGCCTTTAAAGTTCTGGATGGTGGTGGCTTCCACAGCTTCCTTCAGTACGTGGCACTCAAGTTCTTGTTACTTTGATTCCTTTTTTGCATTTCCAGCTTGCACTGTGCTTCCAACACTGCTCTATAGAGCACCATTGGGTATGGATAAATAGACGACAGTACAGTCAATCATGGAGACATTTCAGCGAGGCTTATTTTCGAATTAAAACATGTGCATTGGTTTTGTTTAAGGTTAAATGGTAAATGGGTTAAAAAATGTTGGCAAGCCATTTTTATGACTTGTATCTGGTAGACTACCATATGGCCGTAGCTTTGTCGGGGATTAGGGATGCCTCGGCCAGCCTTGCATAGGCTTTGTGTTCTGAATAGTGCATAGCCATTATTAATCATATTACTTATATTACAGGCCTATACCTCACCTGACCATCCTCTACCAGGTTGGGATGAAGTATTAACTAATTAGAAGTAGTATTTTCTGATAACGGAGGAATAAGACACCGACAGCATTGGGACCTATTTATTTAATTTTTTAGTAGTAACAAAATAATTAAATTTTTTCAGACCATGTTAATGAACAGGTAACTTGTATAATTTTACAACAGCATAAATACATGTATAACTTGGCTACAATGACTTAATAACATTAATATATATGCTTATATCCGGTAACTAAATAGAACATGGTCTGAAGAACGCGGAATCCTTATTAACTATTGGTACAAGTAAGGCAAACGTTTAACATAATTTTTAAGTAGAATCGGGGCTTAAAGAGTAGCATATAGTGGCCTAACACATGACATAAATAATGTGGCAAATCCCAGACATAATGTGAAATGGTAAATTACTAGTAGCTGTAGAATACACCTATAGGACAAATTTAACAATACTCTTACAAGTGAGAGTAAGTAGCTGCGGACAGCGTAATACTTAGGGGCCGGCGCTGCACCCCCCTGATGACCACCAATAAAGGACAAAGACATAGTACTGTGCGTAGGGTTATATTGCCGCTGAACATTGGAAGGGGAGGAGGGTGGGAAAATTTTTTCTAAGACTTGTGAAGCGGAGCGAGGCTGGAACAAGAAAGAACGCATGACCCCTCCTCTCTGCTATATATAGGCCCCCCGCAGCGCTCCGCGCGCTGCGGATCGCGCTGTGCAACTGTCTTCTCCTCCATCAGAAATTCCTCCGCATTCCTACATAATGCAGCGGTTATTAATTGTAACTAGTGGACCAGTTAGAATAGACAGACCCAACTTGATACCTGCACACAAGTTAATGATAATGTAGAGCAAGTATATTACTGACATAATATACTTGCTACAGCCCCAAAGTATTGGAGACAGTCTCAGAGCTCTCACATCTTCAGAGTTTAAAGAGGGTGCCAATAATGTAGGTGGTGTATTTTGTATGTGCATGTGTGACGGTAAAATGACTAAGAACTAATGACTAAAATGACAGTAGCTTAGGGCAGATGGAATGCAAGGCACATATAAGAAAAAAAAATATTAAAATAAAACTGCTAAGTGGACTTCTTCACATCTTGAGGTTATCTTGAGATGATTCATTTACCACATTGTGGTAAATGCAGGATAAAATACAGGAAATAGAATTTAATACTTTAATATGAAAAATTTAACTTTAACAAATAGCAAGAATATCAAGACTTGGCTTACTTAAAAGGTGCAAAATATAAAAAAGACAAGTTAACGTTACATCAAAGAACAAGAAGTAAAATGGTGCTGAAAATACTGAGTACTAGGCTGCATAAATCAACCACCACACAGGATAGTATAAGAACAGATGTGGCAGGTGGAGCACTGAGGAGTATTCGGACTGGAGGTACTGGCTGGCTTCTATATATACAGGACAGTCACCGTCCAGTCCAGTCTTGGTGTTCCTATAATTGGAAGCTGGTAGGTAGAAACGAGCACTGCGCTTGTTTACTAGCGAGTGAGGCGACTCCCAAAATCAAAATGCCAGGTGCGTCCGGGTCACGGGTACTGGTGGGGGGGGGGGGGTAGGTAGGGTGGTACTGTCTAGACTTCAGAGCACTATAGTTGTTGTTGCTCTTGGTTCTTGAATATGCAGATGTGATGTGGTAGAATAAGTGATAGTGGAACAGTCCCAGAGAGTCTTGTAACAGCATGCTGTATATGTTCTCTGTATTGTCTATTTAACAAATCTCTCCTGCTCTGAAAGGGAAAGTAAGTACTGTACTATTCAGTACTCAAGACAGGATAGCACAAGTGATTAAATAGTATTAGCATTGCTTTGAAATCCCTGGATTTAAACATTTTCAAAATCCATCCTATCATTTTCCTGGCTTACACTAGAGGCATTAGGTAAAAGAAAGTGTCCAACCATTTGTCTCGCCCGGGAATTAAACCTGAGATTCACAAATGTGCTGAGAACATAATCACTATACTTTCGAACAATTGACTTTTGCCCAAGATAAAGTGTGGACATGCTACTTTTGTGGTTATGGATCATTTTGATGCTTACTGACCAGCCTTTTGGGGCACTGCACTTTGTGTAAAATATAAAAGAATTTAACATATCACATCAGTGGTTGCCCTACATTCTTTTTAATTTTATTTTATAGTAAAATGAAGTGCAAGAATTCTTTAATGTGAAGCATAGACCTTCCTGAGTGAATGTAGTGGAACATCATTCCTCTAGTGTTGTGTATACAGGTTGTTTTGCTATACAGCATCACTACAGTTCCTTTTGACATGGTAGATTAAATGTATGCAGTTTAGTGCCACATTGAAGATCGGTAGGAGCCATGATGAGGATTCGAACTTGCTCACTTGGTCCTCCCTAGTTAGTATCAAAGACCACTGTGCCACGACATGGTGGTGTAGGGGCACAAGCTTGGGAGTATCAAGTGTGTGTGTGCGAATCCTCCTCATGGCTCCTACCGATTTTCTCATTACATCACAGGGGGACCACGGGTGTGACATAATGTTAATGTGACTTCGTTTTGTTTAGTGGCACTGGTTTTGTAAAAATTTGTCTAAAATACATTACAATTTCTATTCAGGTACTATTCTTTTAAGACGATGGCGCTGGCTGGAGCGAGATGGCGGATGGGATTATCCATTCTTGCCCTCTTCATTCTCAGTGGGGGCAGTGATGCCGTTACCATCATGAGTATTGATTTCGGCTCAGAGTGGATGAAAGTGGCAGTAGTAGCTGTAAGTAGAAAGTATTTTTCTTGCATTTGAATAAATAGGGCAAGGTAATGTAGTAGTTTACAACTTCAGTAACAGGTATTGAAAGGTAGTAATGGAGATGAATCCTCACTGGTAGCACTGTATTGCAAGTTAAAAGGAGGTACATATTTCCCCATTGATGGATCTTACATTTGGTTATACAGTACCCATCTGTTTCATCTTTCACAATGTACTTGTGGAGACTTGTACTCCCATTCATTTTGCCATCTGACTTTCTCTTGACCACCTAACAATAAAATGCCAAATAATATTGTGGAATACAGAGTTATGAGTCTTCATTCAACAATTAAATGCTTAATGGCATCATAAATGTTAACTCTTCTGCTACACCCCAATGTAACACCACTACCTACTGTACTAGCTACTGTATTGTAAAACGGCAAAAATTGTAACAATCCTAGACTATTTGATGGTGAGAAGTAAAGCGGAGGAAGGAATAGAGGAGAAGAGTGAGGAGGTGGAAAGGTTTAGAAAACGTGGACAGGGAAGGGGAACTTGTCTGTGGGGGCAACAGAAAATGAGGGGCGCACAGGAAGAGTGGAGGTAGGAGAAAGGGGATGTTAAGGAGGAATAGGAAGGATCAGGAGGAGAGAGTAAGTGGGAGTAGAGAGTAGTCTGATGAATAAATACTAATATATACTTGCTGAGTAACACTTCCTACTGGATCCACTTGGTAACACTGTTATTGAACACTGGGTATTTATATTTAACGTAATATGAACTGACATGTGGTGTACCACTGATGGTTACACCGGGACCAAAGGTACCCTTCCAAGGAAATGCTAAACACAGGGAACAAAGTAATTAAATCACTGCCACCATCCTGCCGGTCCATTAGCTATATCAAGCAATGCGGCAAGAAACATTGCTAGACTTGGAGAGTCCTCTTTCTTTACCTGTCATTAATTACGGGCCGGGTGTTAACAGACTATACCCAGAGGATAAGATGATCCAACAATTGACACAGACGGAAAGTTTAACATGAGTTTGAGAACAAAATATGATATTCACCAACTATAATTCCCTACTCTAACACTGGCAAATGTTAAGTAATTTAGACATGGAACAATACCATCAGAGATCACACATTACCTTAAGGCCACTGCCTCTTGCCCTGGTGGATTCACCCTGTCTCTTCCTGGCTGTGTGATGTTCACAGACCTGCTCTCGACCCTGGTATCCAGCACACTCTAACTCCCCTACAGAGGCTGCCCACACGTGCACAAACACTCGAGACTTTTCAATTAAGATGTTCGACAGCCACCATACACCTCTTCAAGGATGGGAATTATTGTGGGGGAGGGGGAGAGGTGGGGAGGGTGCAAGAGGGAAGGCAAGTGTTTTCCTCGCCCGAATGTTTACACAGCCAACACTCCCAACCACATCAAGGGGTAGATTCCAGGGTGTTTACACATAAGGATCTGGGGTTCTAATTCCATTACAATGTTTGACAAGATCAAGAAATATCACATACTTGAAACTAGCTGGCTAAGACTAGCCCAGGATTTTTTAATCAACTTTGTAAGATGATCCAGAGATCATCTGGGCTGACCTCTTGGAGAAGGGTTCCCCTGGGTGTAAGCTCTAGGGGGGGAGGGAGGGGTCATGGGTATTACACCAACACACTTGAGTTTCCATAGGGATTAAGGTACAGGTAAGTATGGTTTAAGTACTGGTATGGGAAGTACCAGTACTTAAGTACGAGTAAAAGTACTGGTTTGGGAAATGCAAAATACTTGGTAGAGGAATACTGTACAGTTGTGGGTCTTGTCTTGTCAGGATTGCTATTTTTTCAGTCATTATAGACGAGATTGTCTAATGTGCCTTGCCATTAAAATTGACTTTATAGCAATCTAATATTGAACATTGATGCTACTATGTCTTTTATTAAAATCTGCAGCCAGGTGTGCCCATGGAAATAGCACTGAACAAGGAATCAAAGCGAAAGACTCCAGCATCTATTTCTTTTCGTAATGGCGAACGATCGTTTGAAGATGCTGCTTTAACAAATGGCATTCGCTTCCCACCTACAAATTTCTTCTATCTCCTAGACCTCTTGGGCAAGAAAGTGGACAACCCTGTGGTAAAACTTCACCAGGAAAGGTTCCCTTACTACAACATAGAGGCTGACCCAGAAAGAGGGACGGTTGTTTTCAGATATGATGAGTAAGTAGTTTTACTTGTTAAAAATTCATTGAATCAATTAAAATGTTATTTGTACTTTTAGAATTCTCATTTTAAGTTTTTTTGTTCGATTATATTAGCGTGAACGAGGGAAATTTTAATGTTCAATCTTTCACTTGTTTAATTTTCTCCAGTATATTTTCTCTCTGCCCCCAGGGAAGAGAAAGGAAATGTGGATGTTTGAGTGTTTGTTCATTATTGAACAGTTAGAATCATTTTCAACCTTCATTTTCCAGCGCCTCCTCCGAATAGATAGTACATTTTAATACTAAATGTAATAAGTACAATCCTGACTACAGCCTTAGTACATAAATACTTAATCCCCAGAATCGCATCAAAATATTGTGAACATTAGAGTTTACCTGAAAAGCTGAATAGAAAACCATGACCTAACCTTAGTGTATGAGGACAAGCATTTTATTGCTTCTTAACACTTTCGCTAATTGGTGACAACAGTTTCGTCACCAATATTTCTACTTAATACGCTGGCGTGCGGTACTCGGGAGTCACAAGAAAAAATATTTGTATAAAATCCATTTATTATCCGATCAACTTGGGAATAGTTTACAAATGTTTGCCATGAAATTTACGTTTTCTCTAATAGCCGAACAGCTTATTAAAGAGAACGTTGTGGCAGTGAATCATCGTGGTAAAACAATTGTATTATTGATGCGACGAGTATAATCGACGTAGTTTTTATATATGTTGCCAGTCGAACGCATCCTTATGTGACCTTTAATACTTATGTTCTTATAGAACATTCTATTGCGAACACATTGGTACAAAAATGAAATACATACATCGACAATTAATGTCAGGACAGTGAATTGAATATACACTTTTCAAAGCGAGTTTCGCTGATATGCCGCCGCGGGTAACACTTCGGCCACTTCCCACACTGTTTTGGGTGGGCTACGACATTGAATCTATATTTATATGCATATGTCCGTGTAGAGAATTTTATTGCGATTCCAATGATACCACAATTAGTGATGTAGGACAACTGTAGGCTTCGCAACCATTAAGAGAGTGGAAACATTTTGTTGCTGTTTGGCGCTCTCGGCGAGTGATCTGAATAGTTTTTTATTTGGTGTTGATAGTCCTTATGCTTTGGCGGCATTTTATAGGGATGTTCTTATAGACAATTTTATTGCGAACACAGTGATACCAAATTTAAATACATGCGCCTTCAATTATTGTCAGGACAGTCAAGAGTGTACACTTTTTCGGTCTTACCGCGTAGGCGCACCAACCGCCGAAAGCATCTAGGGTATGCTTTTTTTCTGAATGCGGAGAGCGCGAAAGTGTTAATTACAATTAGTACTTAATACTTTGGCTGGGTAATGACACAGCATTGCGTGATTTCCGGCGGCAAATTGGCGACGGTTTCGAGAAGGGCGCGCCGCGGTTTTGGACATTATATGCATACACACCTGTAGGGAATTTCATTGCGAATGCAATGATACCAAAATGAAAGACCTAGGACCAGAATTAAGGTAACAAAGTTGAAAAGCATATACCCATTTTATTGGCCTTTATTAGCACTCACTGGGGTAACTCGCCGTCACTTTCTCTGTTTGCTGCCAAAATTGAATAAACAAAAACATTGATACCAATTTGAAAAACCCTAGGATGAGAATTGAGGTAACAACAGTTGAAAAGATTACAGGCTTTTCAGAATTACTGCTCGCTCCTGCGGAATGCCCAAACCCACCAGGGTTAGTGTGGCGCATGTGCGCCCAGAGCATCAAAGTGTTAACCTATAGCTATATTGATATTAGTTTTATAAAACTAATAAAACAAAACTAAAATCTTTTAATAAATTATAAAGTAACTCAGGATATTTTCAATTTTGTATAAAATCTGTTTAATAAAACTGAAAAAGAAATTATTTATATTTAAAGCTTGTGTATATAGAATTGAACATGAAAACTTCATCTAAAATTTTGAGTGTCTTAACAGAAAATGAGAATATATATATAAGCACCGTAAGTGTAATTATGTACTATGCACGAGTCGGGAAATATACTTATTACATTTAGTATTAAAACGTACTGTCTATTCGGAGGATGTGTTGTCGTTTTCGTGGTTAATCCGTTCCCAGAGACGGTACAAGAACCGAAACAAATTTTCCTATTAGAATTAATTTAAATTGAATTAACACTTTCGCTCGGGCATGACGCAGCATTGTGTCATCCGTTTACTGGCGGTAATACCGGGGATGACGCAGCATTGCGTCATCCACTTTAAATAATCGCCAAAAATCAGGTTTTTATCCGATTTTTTTGGGACTGGTTTTAAAATGTGCGCCGATGTCTTCCCATTTTCTTTGTTGAGCCTCGTGGCCCTCAGGTGGCTTGGCACATGATGTCGGCCCATTCTTTTCGCTCCACTGTTGTGACCAATGTCGCCTCCCCTCACATCTCAAACGTGTGAACATTTCGTCTATTTTCCGTGGCTATATTTCTTTCTGCGGCTTTAGAAACTATCTACGCTTACTCCACGATGGATAGTGATCATGAACAAGGCCCTTCCAGGAAGAAAATTGTGAAAGAAAGGCTTGAAAAGGAAGGGAATTGGGAGTGTAGCTGGAAGGCGTCTGAGTGCTCACTCACGGCTAACGCGTGGCCCATCTTCAACTCGTCGGCGGTTGGAGCGTGACCAGGTTTTTTATTTTATACGCTAATGTTCCTCTAGAGAATTCTATTGCGAACCCATTGAGACCAAAATGAAAGACCTAGGACAAAAATTGAGGTGACCAGAGTGAAAATAGTGAAAACATTTTATCGCGTTTGCGCACTCCTGGGTAACTCATTCGCACTTTCTCTGTTTGCTGCTGGTAATTAGCCGGGCTTTTGGAGTTTATATGCATTTAGTGCTGTAGAGAATTCTATTGCGAACACAATGATACCAAATTTAATCTTGTAGGACGAGAATTAAGGTGACAAAGTTGAAGAGAGTATACACTTTTCAGAATTTATGCGCGCTCCCATGACACCCTGGGTCCCATATCGCACAGTTGAAGGGTGGCGTGCGGGGTACGCCAAAGTGTTAATCCGTTCCACACCCCCAAAAATATTAACTAAAAAAATAAATGTTATACAGAATAATACTCTTGGGTCCCTTACCTTTATGGAGGACTTTTGTTGGCATATGGAAGACAGTGAGGAGGAGGAGGAGGAGGAGGAGGAGAGGTGTTAGTGTTTAGAAGGGGGGAGTCTCCTTCCATTATAACAGCAGTGATGACATTTGTGGGGTACTCTTATGGTTGTGGCTCACTGCTTGCTTGTCTTTTTAACTCTACTGTATAGACACTTGTTTTTCCCCTACATTTTAACACTTGTCTGTAGTGAGACATCACATCCTCACTATGAATGATCTCTTGGTTTTTTCCTCTATCGTCATCCTCGCAACCATTTTCTTAGGTTGCACATTACCACTGACTTTCTTGGAACCCATGGCATGATATATAATAAACTTTTATGTTCAGAAACCAAAAAGACACAAAATCCATGAAATTCTTCACAAAGAATCAAAGCGTGGTGATCATTAGGCAGGAGACACTGGTAAACTGAAGCACCACACTCACGGTGGACCCGTATGTGCATAAACAAACTATGACCACTGAGGCAAGCTATGACTACCGACTCTAATTTCTCGTAGAAATTTACTACAAGAAACGAAAACTACGAGAATGGGCATATGAGAACCGAGGTTCCACTGTATACTGTAATAGGATTGCTGTATTTCCTTAGGTTTTTTTTTTTTTTTTTTTTTATTTCGGTAATTTTCAAATTCTACAGAGTATACTTTGTTTAATGTTTCCCAGTTCTGCATAATATTTAGGTCAATTAATATCTGTACAGTATTTAAAATGTGTGTTAACACAGGGAGACAACATACACAGTTGAGGAGCTGGTGGCCCAGCTGTTGGAGTATGCTCGGGATTTGGCTGTAGCGCACACTGATCAGAGAATCAAGGATTGTGTCATCACTGTTCCACCATTCTTCAACCAGGCAGAACGGAGAGCTATTTTGACAGCAGCTGATATGGCTGGACTCAAGGCAAGTGTACAATACTGTATATAAAAATGATGTAATGTGATGTGATTGAGTTATTTATAAATAATATTGCTTTCAAAGAACTTTTAATTAGTTAATTAAATATTAATTTAGTGTCCTCAGAATGCAAAAGTAACACTTTTTAACACTTGAGGACTGCTGAAATATTATTAAACCACTCTACAACTTTTTTTTACACTTTTGCAAAGGAGTGAAATAATTTTTATTTTAATATCGCTTGACAATTGTACTGTAGAGTGTATTTGCACTATACTTCAGGTGCCATTTTCAGTTCTAAAACTGTTTTGCTGTGAAAAGTGATCCCCACTCCTTGCTGTGAAATGTTTCTCAAGACGTAATAAAACGAGCACCATAATCAGTTAAATTTTAGCCTTTTGGGGGCATTTTTTTTTCTTAGGGGTGCAGTCAGTGTTAAGATGTGCTGGCTTGGTGCTTTCTCATACTTAATTGTTGTAGACCTTTTATCATTTGCATGGCTGACCATAACCATACTATCCAAATATAAGTTCTTAGGTAAAGATCCTTACATGATTGTTTTACCATGTATTGTTGCTGGTTAAACTATATAGCAAGTTTGTAACACAGAATTGTTACTTATTATGTAATAGTTCATTGTTTTATATATGAGAGCTGTGTTCGGAATTTTTGCTGGGATTGTTCATTGATTTCCTTTGTTTGCTGGTTTATCATAGTATTCTTATTTAGCAATGTAGAAATGATGCAGGGAACACAAAATGTCTGAAAAGTGAAAGTAATGTCTATTGAACAGGATTTGTAAATTAATAATGTCCATATATATGGCTCTTGCTTCAAGTACAGTAATGGTATCCTGTACCATTATTTTCAGGTTCTGTCTTTAATGTCTAGTAATGCTGCTGTGGCTCTCAATTATGGCATGTTCCGGAGAAAGGAGATCAATGCCACTGCACAGAACATTCTCTTCTATGATATGGGGGCATCCTCTACTACAGCCACCATTGCCTCGTACCAGACCATCAAAACAAAGGAGAGGGCATACTCGGAGACCAACCCTCAGGTCACAATGTTAGGTCTGGGGTATGTTGTCACACCATTGTTTTATGTATATTTTGGGGTTCAAGAACTGTCAAGTTTTCTTTTATGAACATGTTTTAAAAATTCTCACTAGGCCAATAGAATGAAGAATAAATGAGCTAAAAATAGTAATTATGGGCATACTGTAATTTTATTTTGGAGAATATATTTTTCCAAAACCAGTTGCACTCAAAGTATAATTTAAATGTACAAATCACACACAGTACAGTGGCACCTTGATTAAAGAGTTTAATCCGTTCCGGCACTAAGCTCGTCGTGTGGAAAACTCGTCTTGCAAGAAATCGACAACAAAACTGTCGTTAAAGTTGTCCGAGAACCAGCGGAAATGTTCATTAATCGAGGTGCCACTATACTTGTTAAATTTATTTAACATTATAGTAAATAGTCAAAAATCGTATTTAAGATCAAAGATACTTTTTCAGTTATGATCGCTCTCTGGGTGGATTGGAGATGCAGCTTCGTTTAAGGGATTATCTTGCTGTAAAGTTCAATGAGGTAAAAAAGACCCCCAATGATGTGCTCGAATCTCCCAGGGCAATGGCCAAGCTATTTAAGGAAGCTGGACGTCTGGCTAAAGTGCTGTCGGCCAACTCTGATCACCTCAGTCAGGTAGGTGGTGAGATGTAAACTTTGGCCTTTAGAAAGTAGCTCAATATGTGAAGGATGTGTCGAGTGTTATAGGATACTAAATGTTTAGTACAGTTCTGTGTAGAACCGTAGAAATGTTACAAATTCTATTTCTAGCATAATTACCAAAACCTTTTACATTAATTCAATGTTTAGTTAACTTCTTAGTCCATGACCTCCACAGATCTTTCATTTATTGGCCAGAAATCTTTTGGCACACTGCAACGTGAGAAAATAGTTTTAAAACTACTGTACCTGTATGTTGTTCCTTTCCTTTGAAGTTGTTTTATAATAGTTCGTGATTGTTGAGCTGGTTTCTTAAACTGATGATACTCTGGTGAATGATATAATTAAATTTTTAAAGGTTGAAGGAGTTTTGGATGAAGAAGACTTCAAACTGATGGTAAAGAGAGAGGAGTTTGAGGAGCTGTGTTCTGATGTGTTTGACCGTATTCGGGCCCCAGTTGATGCAGCTCTCATATCAGCTGGCATGGACATCTCTGCTATTGATCAGGTAATCATCGTTACAAAGAACTGTACAAAAATTTAGGTTACTTTTATAAGTACAGTACTGTAAAAGTACTTTACGGAGTGGTGAGTATAAACTTTTGGACATCACCCTCCTAACTTATTTATTGTATGTTTGTTTTTTAAATCTATTAAATCTATAGCAGCAAGACCCTCCAAAATGTGGTGATCATAATATATCTTGGATAACTAGTTTTAATCATTTGCCAATTTTCATTATGGCTTGGTTTTTATACCAGCTACCCAAATATAATAATTACCTCTATATTGATGTATTATAGTAGTGAAAAGGTCTATCTATAATTATTTACTATTTGATGAGGTTATTGTATACTAGGGACATTCAGTTATCAAATCACACTTTGGTCTTTTTCACCAGTTGGTGTATTCTTTGACAATGTTTTCAGGCAGAAATGCACCAAAGGAGTGTGTTGGAAGAGAGAGAACCTTGAGCTTTCAATAATAGATTTACATGCAGTGGGCATTTAATTTTAAATTGCAGACTTGTATACAGTGCTGTATAACAGTTTGCCAATTGTGTACATAGTTGTTCAAAACTGTGCATTTTGTAAATTATTAGATTGAGCAACAAACCAAAAAGCCATCCAATTTGAAGATTAACACGCACTAACAACCCACCGGTGTCAGTAACTATGACTCTCATGACCCCCATCACCCAGCTGTGTGCATGAAACCAGAAATTTTATGAAGGCTTTTAAGTTCAAATTGAAAATACAGGCGGCAACTAATATAAACAATAAAACTTATCACAGAACCATAGTAAGAGTTTACTCTAGCAGCTGTCAGTGATAACTTCAGGTATTGTAGAGCCTGAGCCATTATCTAATATTTATGCAAGCAACAAACTTGATTGCAAGACGTCTCCATGTGGTTCTCCACTCGTAATGTTTATCCAACCTGACTTTTTTTTTCTCTCCCCTTTTAGACCACTGCATTGTTTGCATTCATATGAAAATTTTCAAAACTAGCTTGATACATGACTGTCAATACCATATGCTTTTGTTTTTTAAAGTAGTCTTCAATAATTTACTATAAATTTGTATAAACTAATCCAACTATAAATGAATAAACATTTGAATTGAGTGAAGAACGTTCTTGACCGCTTTGTGACTAAATATGGTAAAGTATTATGTACTGTCAACCACAATATTTTCATTGAACACATTAATTACAATTTGTAAAAAATTCTTTCATAAGTGTCTTACTTAGTGCATTAGTGTTAGCCTTTGGCCATTGTATAAGCCAGTTTGGGTAAAAGGTGAGAAACAATCTGGAATAAAAGAATATACAGGTGTCTAGAACCTTATTGGCTGTGTGAGGTGACTCGTTTATTTCCACTATTCCTGTGCACAACTGTTAATTTAATTTAATTTAACAGGCTCTATAAAGGGTTAAATAAAATGACCTGAATTTTTTCTGTAATTTACTGTGATTGCATTCCCCCCAAGAATAAACCCCTCTTTTCAGTTTATCATTGTTGGAGGAGCTACCCGCATTCCTCGAGTGCAGTCACTGCTTCAGGAAGTTTGGGGTAAAGAACTGGGGAAAAATATAAATGCAGATGAGGCTGCGGCTATGGGTGCTGTGTACCGTGCGGCAGACCTCGGGCAGGGCTTCAAGGTTAAAAAGTTCCATGTTAAGGAAGCCATCGTTTTTCCTATAGAGGTAAGATTTTGAGTTCTTGTGTATTTTAAATCTAATATGCATTATGAAGTGATAAAATGTCATAAATGGGATGCCTTTGTTCCCTGGGGCCTGGGGTTAATAAATAGGATGCCCTTTTCCCCATTAAATGATTTTTTATAGTCATTTTAATTATGCATCCTGTTTGATGGTCGATGCAAATTCAAATTTAATGTTAGAAATTTATTTGTTTACTTTAGAGAGAAGTCTTTTACTGCTTCTTGACTTTGCTTTCATCTGTGTGCTTACTGTACCTAGATGACCATTGCCCATTCTGTACATCTATTTTTTTTTTATTTATTTATTTTTTTTTTGTAATAACTAAACTTTGGGGATTAAACTTCATAGTTATGGTGTACATCTGATAGGATAATTTCCAATTTATAGTTGGCCTTCCTTGTAAGTTAGTGTTGGGAATGTCAAGGCTTGTTGGTCAGTATTTTTTGTCTGGGTTGCAGGATGACATGTTCATTCTCCTTGTCACTTTACCCTTGCACATGAACTCCTCAAGACAGAGCAGTATCAAACTAATTTCTAAAGAGCTTCCATTTGCCCAATCTCAAACTCTTGGATTAGTCCTCATTTAATTTCTCTTACTTGCTACATTCATTAACCACTGCACTGATCTTCATTAAAATATGACGCCCCCGTGGTGCTCCAAAAATAGTTAGTTTCCCCAAAAAATTCTCTTCTTATATTGTTAAAATGCAGTCTCTCATCACAGGGAAACTAAAAAAAAAATATTGTATGTGACATACTTTAGCCGCGGTGGAGCTGGGAAGTTGAGCAAATTATGGGCGCTGAGCGATGGAGTGCTCAAGGTCACTAGGCCTTGGGGCCCCCCCCGTGGGGCGGCAGTGGCTGCGAATATAATGTTTCATGACTTTGATATTTCCCATTCGTTTCTTCCCTGGAGTTTTGCTGTAATGTTCAAAATTGTGTAAATTGTTGAATTTATATAGTTCAATGTGTGGAACACTTATATGCTCAAAATTATGGGGCTCATTTGTAACATACACAGTATTATATTCTATGATCCATCAGTGTTTTTGCTGTTATTACACTATATACACACATTGTATATACCTATCTACATGTGTGTTCACCATAACAAACCACCAAGTTGGTATGGCGAGCCTTAAAAAAAAAAAAAAAAAAAAAAAAAAAAAGTGGGGCTGCCACACCTGGCCAGCCCTCCCTCACTCCAACACCAAACTTGCCAACATTTCTCCTCCTACAAAACTGTTTCTGGTTTTATTACACAATGTACATGTGTTATTTATATATATAATTATCTACATGTTTTGTTCACCATAACTGTAAAACTAAGTTGGTATGGTGTCCAAACAACATAAGCTGGTTTTATTGTTAAGGCTTGCCTCGGGCCGGGGTTGAGGAGTAGAACAACTCCCAGAACCCCCATCTACCAGGTATCAACATAGTGGTAACAAAAAACTGCATGAAAAGTCAAACCACCACCAGCAGACGGCACCAACTCTCCCTCCCTCTTCACTAAGATTACTCCTCCCACCATATTATGCAGATTGCTAATTCTCACCACAATCCTGCTATTATCAGAATCCTGGTCACTAAATCCTGTAAATGAATAATTTTCCACAAATTTATTTTGTAAAGTAGCATGGGAGGTAGTTTGAAGAATCTTGGAGGGATGAAATAATGACAGTGTGCTGTGAACATCTTGAACAGCATTGATTCACTGATATCTGAACATTGTACAGTCTTTATAACAATCAGGCTCTTCTGTAAACCTACGAGAGGCCTGAGGCGCCTTGCACACCACCAATCTAGCGCCTCAAGGCGTTTTGCGCAGAGTGTCACCACTATTAAATGGCGATATTTTTTCTAATGGTTCTCGTGCAGAAAAAACCTCTTGTATTTTTGCACAGACATTACAGATGTCCACCCATGTTTCATGTAGCGAGGACTGCATCAATATTTAACATTGGCTGGAGCTGGCTTTGTATAGGCACCTACAAAATTTGTATATACACACACGTGTTAAAACCCTTAGTGTGGGGTTAGGTGATCTACCTTCATACATCCCTGATCTTAAGGGTTGAAATTTTAATATCTTCACTGATAAATATGAGCAATCAATGTGCTATATATTTTATGGGCTTTAATGTTGTTGTACATTTTTCCCTAACTACCAGTTTTCTTTTAAACTTCTGAAATGGCTCAAATTGCAAGCGTTTCCTTAGATTTGATGTTGTCAGGGATGGAAGTGTTGAGGACACTTGAGCTGAATATCGGGACGTGCTAAGATAATGTGGTGCAGAAGCAGGATGATGATTAGTAATGTTTGTCAATGAACAAGAAAGTGTGGAACTTCCTAAGAAGGGAAAGGTTTGTGGTGGAATTTACATGGAATTTGAATATAGGGAGGAAAGTATTTTAATAGATAACCTGCACAAAGCGGTTTTTATTTAATGGTTTTTTAGTAACATTCAACCCAGTTACACGCGACTGTAAAAAGCACTTTTAGCTTAGTTGACTGTGGTGTAACTCAACTTACACAGCCCAACTAGGATATAGAAAAGTATATAGGACTTAATGGAAAAATATAAAGAGGATCAGGACTTGGTGACAATACAAGGATTAATGTATAGTGTTAAGTAGTTTAGTCTGAGCTGTTAAGGGGCCGTATTACGAAAATATGCAATAAATCAAAACTTGTTCGATTTCAAACTCTTTTTATTAGTTGTATATGAAATTGGGTTCAACTGGTCCAAGTCTCGGCATCGTAGCATAAATAGGAAGTAAAAAAAATATTGTCAAAAAATTTCCAAAATGGTTAAAAATTATCAAACACAGGTGTTAACTGGAATCATGTCTGACTCTAAGCTATCACAATAGCGTATAATAAAAAAATTTAATATTCAGTTTTATGTGAAAAAAGATTTTTTCTCTAGAATTTTTTCTTATTTTTATTGAGCGATTTGCATGAAACTTGTACACCTTACCGAATGTAAGCCTATCTGTAAGGGTGCAAATTTTGGTGGAAATTGGTTGTCAACCTCAACCACAGGTGGCAGAATCTTTGACTTCATTTATTGTCAAGCAACATAAAATTGACTTTCATTTTTTTTCAATTTACATGAAATTTACACCTAATATGTAGAGTAAATGTCTCTACAACCTCTATAAAACACTTTATTCTTAAGTACATTTATTGATTTTATAAATATTTGCAAACATGATATATTGGCATAAATTTTTGGGAACTTTGACTATTTGTGTTAGTAAAACTAAACATATTTTGGATAATCCTTCTTATACAAATCCTTCATTATATGCTAATGTGATAGATGAGTGTCATAGAAATTATTTCATTTGAAACTTGTGGTTGTAAGGAATTATTGAAAATGTGTAAAACACATTTTCATGTAAAACGTTGAAAAAAAAAATCCTCCCTTTCTATTTAGGGTGCGATACTGATACGTAGGACAGTTGCAGCCCTTTTTATATACAACTAGTTAAAAAAGATATTGTTGATTGGACAACTTTTAATTTACTGTAATCCGGCCCCTTAAACTGAACCTGAAGTTGTCAGAAAAAAATATTCCATGTAGACTACATTGGCCAAGCATTATTCCCTAAAGGTTAATAAATTTAAATGAAGCAAAATAATTGTATCCGGTTACACTTGGATTTCTCTTACCATTAGAGATTAGAATCGTAATTTAGCAACCATGTTTAATTACATTGTACACAGGGTGGGGGAGCATTAAATAAAAACAATGGTTGAAATGAGGCTGTGAATGGGAAAATGTTTCATAAAAGTTGTTGTATTTTAACAAGGGAAGTTGTAGCTGAAAGTGCCATGCGTTGAATGTCTAAACTTTCTTGCCTCTTTTCATTGCACCTTATTTTAACAAATGCCATTTAATTAATACATGTATGTTGTTGTTCAATATATGCACTGCACAGCCGACCACAATATACCGGAACTGATTTTTTTTTATATACTGTACAGTATTTACCTTTTTTAACCTCCTGGATTAAATTTTTTTTTATTATGCACTATAGATAAAGGCCAAGTCTCAGAAGAGGGTGAAAAGGAACTGGTTTCAAGAGCTAACTAAGAAGTTACTGTATTTGGTGAGGGAGGGTGGTGTGTTTTCAAGGGGTATCTGCTTAACTTGGTGCTGGGATTTGGCGTGTTTACACAGTTCACAGATGTTTTTGATGCAAGGTCTTGCCAAGCTTTTTGTAAACTTAAGCATCGCACACACATGCACAGTTTATACCTACTCATGTTCCCTTTGTGCTATTAATGTGTTCTACACAGTTCACTGTTTGGTAATGTGCTTGTATTAGTTCTGGAATGGTTTTTCCCTAATTTTAAACTATATATTTGATATTCTTTATTTTATAGGATATAAATGTATGTTGCATGTTTTATTAATTATGGAAGTACCTAAAGAATTGTAATCTAATTAGGTTAGAAAATATTCTTTGGGTAAATAATTTGGCCATGATTGCTAGTAATGTAGACAGTAAGTCAATAACATGACTAGATTTAGGCATCCAAACCATAAATCTAAAAATGGAGGAAGTGACGTTGTTTCAGGCCATCCTGGTCTAGACTAAAGATATTCTCTGGAGAGGGCCCAGGGGCCAGATTCACAAAGCAGTTACGCAAGTACTTACGAACGTGTATATCTTTCCTCAATCTTTGATGGTTTTGGTTACATTTATTAAACAGTTTACAAGCCTGAAAACTTCCCAATCAACTGTTGTTATTGTTATAAACAGCCTCCTGGGACTTCGGAGCTCATTAACTATTTTATAATTGTAAACAAAGCCGCCAAAGTTTAAGAAAAGTTGTACAGGTTCGTAAGTGTTTGCGTAACTGCTTTGTGAATCTGGCCCCAGAGCTCCAGATTTCCCCCAGCCCTCACGATGTCGACACCACAAATTGTCCACTGTAATTACTTGTATGTAATTACCTAAGTGTAGGTACAGGATGAGAACTACGCTTATGGTGTCCCGTCTTCCCAGCATTCTTTGTCATATAACGCTTTGAAATTATTGACCGTTTTGGCCTCCACCACCTCGCCTGACTTTTTCCAATCGTCTACCACTCTGTTTGCGAAAGTGAATTTTCTTGTACAGGTATTTCTTCAGCAGCTTTGTTTAGTTAATTTAAATCTATAACGTAGTTCTTGAAGTTCCATGTCTCGGGAATTCTTCCCTATTTTTAGTCGATGCTGTGTTCACAAGCTGAACAGCAATGCTGTTAGCTCATGCTGCATGCACCAGCCTTGGTTGCTTACTCAGTACTGAGACTCTCGCTCCCAGATATGTTACCCACGATTTTTTTTCATAAGGGCATCTGTTTATTATCGGCCGTGGCTGGACTATAGCTGCTCCTATCCCTCGCGGGGCATTGAAAATCGTGCACTATACCCTCAATCGTATATGTATGTATTGCGCAGTTTAAGGGTTAATGCCTCTAACCTCTCCACGTAGCTCTTGTCTTTCAGTTCTGGGAGCCACTTAGTGGCATGTCTTCGCACCTTTTCCAGTTGTACTTATTAAGATATGGGCACCATACAACTGTTGCATATTGCAGCTTTGGTCTAACAAAAGTCATGAACAATTTCTTTAGTATTTCACCATCCATGTATTTAAAAGCAATTTTGAAGTTAGAAAGTGTAGCATAGGCTCCATGCATTGTTTTTTTAATGTGGTCCTCAGGTGATAGTTTTCTATTTAGAACCACCCCTAGATCTTTATCAAAATTCTTTAAAGATTTCTCATATAATTTATAGGTTGTATGGGGGTCTGTTCTCCTATTCCACATTACATAACAATGGCATTTATTCACATTAAATTCCATTTGCCTAGTGGTGCTCCATATACTTTTGTCCAGGCCTTCTTAAAGGGCATGATAATCCAAGTTTCTTATCTTTCCTATTATCTTAGCATCATCAGCAAACATCTTCATATAATTCTATATTCCATCTGGTAGATTGTTTATGTAGACAATGAACATTACCAATGCAAGAACTGAACCCTTGCCTTGAGGTTACCTTGAGGTGCTTCCGGGGCTTAGCGCCCCCGCGGCCCGGTCGTTGACCAGGCCTCCTGGTTGCTGGACTGATCAACCAGGCTGTTGGACGTGGCTGCTCGCAGCTTGACGTATGAGTCACAGCCTGGTTGATCAGGTATCCTTTGGAGGTGCTTATCCAGTTCTCTTGAACACTGTGAGGGGATTGCCAGTTATGCCCCTTATGTGTAGCGGAAGCGTGTTGAACAGTCTTATTAAGTGGTGAATTACAAAAGTGGAGTACCCTTAGGTATTCCACTTGTGACATTTCTCCAGTCTGATACATTCCCTCAGATTACTGCCCTCATTTTTCTATGAAAAATTTTCATCCATGTTAGAAGCATGTCAAGTCTTTCTAGGTCCAGATGCAGTCAATCCAACCATCTTTCCTGTAAAATCTGTGGCTCGATCATAGAAACAGAAACTTTATCATTTGCCATTTTGTCCTATTATCATTCTACCATCTGTTAGTGTTGTGCTTTCATTTCTCTTGTATTTTTCTCAAATAGCATCTTGTGCCCAATACTGTACTGTCACCTCTTGTTGTTGTACTCGTAGAGCCACTACTGCTTGTGTTCGGCATCATTTGTGACTCTACAATGTCGTTTTGGAAGCTTTCTCGCATGTAGTTTCACCTCCGGTCTGCTCAGGCATCACCTGAGCCCTCTTGATCTCTTAACCATATCCTTACTTTTTTTTTGTCCCCCCCCCCCCCCATCCTTCAGCCCACAATTCTTTCCTCAAAACAGGTTTTTCTGTTTGCCACTTGGTCAGGAAGCTTTTTGCTCTTCTTTGGAGGTGGGGTTTTTTCTTCTTTTGACCCTAATGGACATTGTTAATTTAACATTTTCGCGCTATCGGCGTTAAAAAAAAAAATCATACCCTATGTGCTTTCGGCGGTTCGCGCGCCTACACGGTAAGACCGGAAAAGTGTACACTCTTTTGACTGTCCTGACAATAATTGAAGGCGCACGTATTTAAATTTGGTATTATAAGATATATAAGAACATACCTATAAAATGCCGCCAAAGCATAAGGACTATCAACACCAAATAAAAAACTATTCAGATCACTCGCCGAGAGCGCCAAACAGCAACAAAATGTTTCCACTCTTAATGGTTGCGAAGCCTACAATTGTCCTACATTGCTAATTGTGGTATCATTGGAATCGCAATAAAATTCTCTACACGGACATATGCATATAAATATAGATTCAATGTCGTAGCCCACCCAAAACAGTGTGGGAAGTGGTCGAAGTGTTACCTGCGGCGGTATATCGGCGAAACTCGCTTTGAAAAGTGTATATTCAATTTACTGTCCTGACATTATTTTTCGATGTATGTATTTCATTTTTATTCCAATGTGTTCGCAATAGAATGTTCTATAAGAACATAAGTATTAAAGGTCGCATAAGGATGCGTTCGACCGGCAACATATATAAAAACTACGTAGATTATACTCGTCGTGTCAATAATACAATTTTACCACGATGATTCACTGCCACGCCGTTCTCTTTAATAAGCTGTTCGGCTATTAGAAAAAACATAAATTTCATGGCAAACATTTGTAAACTATTCCCAAGTTGATCGGATAATAAATGGATTTTATACAAATATTTTTTCTCGTGACTCCCGAGAGGGTCACGCCCGCGGTGTGATTAAAACACTTTGATGCACCCGGCACCCGCGAAAAAACTCTGCGCAATGTGCTTGCGGCGTTTTTTTCTCATGAGCGTAAACACCAAACAGTGTAATTTTTTCACTCCTGACACCAATTCTCTAGCTACGTATTTCCTTTTGGTATCAATGTGTTGGCAATAAAATTCTCTTCAAGATCATGTGTATAAAATGTAACCAAAGCATTAGCTATTCCACCACGAAATAAATAAAAACGTAGATCACTTGCCGTCTCGCTGTACGCCCAAACAGCTACAAAATGTTCATACTCTTTTGTTTGTTGTCAGCTCCACATTAGTCCTACAGCGTTAAATTTTATATCACTGAACTCGCAATAAAATTATCTATACAGACATACGCATATAAATGTAGAATCATGATCGCGGCCAACACAAGAGTGTGTGGAGTGGGCGATTACCCTCGTTGTCACCAACTCGATAGTCTCTCCTCTAAGTTACAATACATTGCCGTTTTCTCAAATAGGCACTGTGCCTATTAGAGA